GACATATAAATATTCACAGTGGCTCTGTCCAATTATACCTCTCACGTGCACTCGTAACCCTGGAGGAGGGGGCAGGAATTCCAGGTGCTGCCAACAGCTTCCTGGCAAGATGCCATCTACTGTTAATGGAAAAAGACAAGCCGCAAAAAAACAAAGACGAAATGACGACCTGCTTCTCTGCCCCGGGGGGTGGGCTGAGCGCATCAAGAGGAAGCTGAGTGCTAAAAAAGGGAAAATTCTCCAGGAGCCAGAGATGATCTGAGTGGAATGAAATGGCATGGGGAAAAATGCCACCGGGTTTGCACAGGGCAGTGACACATGGTCTGGATTTTGACAGCACCTTTCTGAGAAGCACTCTGGGAATTCATTATTGAGTCTCCTTAACTCTCACACAAGTTGAGGGGCAGGCATACAAAGATGCCTTTTCAGGAATAGACTCACAGGGATTATACACATTTTATATAAAATCAGTAATTCTCAAGTTTAATAGAAGAATAAAACAGCAGATGGGTAAGAATAAAGGTGCATCCTCTTAGTAAGCTTAAGCTGTGTGTTTTGTGCAGACTTTATTTTTTTTGTTTTTGAAATGGAGTCTGGCTCTGTCACCCAGGCTGGAGTGCAATGGCATGATCTTGGTTCACTGCAACCTCTGCCTCCGGGGTTCAAGCAATTCTCCTGTCTCAGCCTCCCAAGTAGCTGCGATTACAGGCATGTGCCACCATGCCCGGCTAATTTTTGTTGCTGTTGTATTTTTAGTAGAGACATGGTTTTATCACGTTGGTCAGGCTGGTCTTGATCTCTTCATCTCATGTGATTTGCCCGCCTTGGCCTCCCAGAGTCTGGGATTACAGGCTTGAACCACCGTGCCCAGCCAGGCTTTAATGTTTTTAAAAGTGCAGAGCTTTTAGGGAGATGAAGGAAATGAACACACTATAAATCTGCAGGCATTTAAACCCCTCTGAAACAATTAAGACGGTGCATTCACAAAGCAGCTTTAAATCAAACAACCCATAATACTTGATGTAGAAAATGTTCCAGCTTCCATAATTCTTTATTAAATATTTGACAAGTTGCATCACTTCTTTACAATGACTTCATTGTGTCACATTAGTCTTTTGCTGTCAGGAAAACAATCTACAGTTTCTCTTTAGATCTCTCAAGATAAAGAAAAGCGAAAAGGATTTGTTCTCAAAGAAAACTTTTCCTGTGTGTATCAAATTCAACTGTATTTTAAAGCTATTCTGATTGTGAAAATGAGCATTATCCATAAGTTGTCTTAAAAAAACTTCAAGGTAGTTTGGTTTTTACCATTGTATCAAATAGGACTTGGCTTCCTATTAGGAGGTGGGTTTATAATAAAAAGTTATGAAACATCGAGAATTTATTTGGAATGCTTGACACTCTTTTCACCTTAAAAGTCACTGTTTTTTCATGTTTCATTTGATGACAGATCCTGAATTAAGAAAAGACAGCAAATTAACATAACCTTCCTAGGGTTTTCTCAGGCTCCAAGGGTAGAAATTCGCAGGTCACAGCTTGGAGAAAACTGCAGAAGGGATTAAGCTCTCACTCCCTTTCGAAACCAGATTGCTCAATAAAGGTGTAAAAATGCTACACAAATATATACAAATATATTTGAACAGCATATGTACGTATATATGCATATATATTACATACATAGTAAAGGAAGAACAAAGTCACGTAAAGTTAACATGAAGGAAACGGTGACAATCTAGGTGAAATCAGTTTGAGTAAAAGGGGAAAACTGCTTACACAGGGAACACAGACACCTGCAGACACAGGCATTGTCATGAGGATGGCTTCCGACGCACTGGTACAAGGTTGAGAACGCAGTGCACGCACGGTTAGGGACCAACAGCAACGCTACTCCTTACACTCGGAAAACCAACGAACAGAAAGACACGCGCCTGAAACATGCATTGCTTTGAGTGGAACATGTTTAACAAACGATAGATACTGACTGAGAGGTCTGCTTGGAAAATTGCATGCCAACAGGAAGCTAACCCTTTTCCAGAAAACACTCTCCAACCTCCCGGCCTAATGCTACGGCGTTTTCTCTGACATAAGGAGAACAATCTGGGGTGGGGGTGTGCGTATGCAAGTGTATAGACACTGTTGATTAAGGCTTCTATAAAATAAAAAAGTGGTCCAAAGAATATCACATATTCTTCCCAGTTTTAAAATCTAAAGTACAAAGTGGAGTTCATAAGAATTTTTTTTTTTAAAAACACATCTCAGTCCTGAAATTGGCAGTTCTGAAATGACTTATCAGGATGTACCCCAATGCCTGAATGACAGAGGTAGCGTGTGATCTTCGGGGTGGGGAAGGTCAGGAAGGGAGCAGGCCAGGCAGTTACCATGCACAGTGGCACCCCCTACTGGCAAGGCAGAAAATGATGCCAGACAGCACCTCCCACCCCTCCTTCTTAGTACAGGGGTACATGGGCAGGGTGAGGAGGAGAGAGGAGAGGAGAGCTAGCACAGTGGGGAGCGGCTGCGGAACTCATGAACCAAGGCTCTCTGTATACATTTTGAAATTTCAGAGGTGAGTACAAAATTCTTAGGAAATACAGGAGTCGATTGCTAATGGGTAACTGTTAGAACAATCAAAAAGTTGCTGTGTATGGACCTGGCTTTTGAGAGGGCCGCCGTGGATCTGGCAGGGTAACAGCAGCAGTGCACACTGTCAATGAAACAATGCGAGATGGAGAAAGTGGGCCAAATGTTTTGCACTGTTTCTCAGAATCTGTCACTGTGAGGCCAGGCATGGTGGCTCATGCCTGTGATCCCAGCACCTTGGGAGGCCAAGGCAGGAGGATCACCTGAGGACAGGAGTTCAAGACCAGCCTGGCCAGCACGGTTAAACCCCGTATTTTGTATCTGTAAAAATATAAAAATTAGCCGGGCGTGATGGTGGGTGCCTATAATCCCAGTTACTCGGGAAGGCTGAGGCAGCAGAATCGCTTGAACCTGGGAGGCAGAGGTTGTAGTGAGCTGAGATTGAGCCACTGTACTCCAGCCTGGGCTACAGAGAGAGAGACTCCATCTCAAAATAATAAAAATCATCATCATCATCATCATCATCTGTCCCTTTGTCCTTATGTAGGAGAAATAATACACATCAAGTTCCTCTGTATCCTTCATTGTCTGAATTCAGGGAATATCTGACATCACCTGAAGGGTCCTGGAGACAAAAGGCAAGTGCCTTACATTTGTTCTTGTGATTTGTTAGAGGACTGGCTACAGAGAAGCATTTCAACTACAGTAAACATTTCAGGCAAAAACGAAAAGAGCACTGAAGCTGGGAATACGCCGTAACTCAGACAACGAATGAATGCCTCACTGCTGCCGGCTCCGGGGCCAGCGGTGGCGAAGTGCAGGCTGTTGGGATGGTCGTCCCATCAGCACTTTCCAAATCCTTCCCCAGGTCAACAAGGGGCAGGAATGGAATACCTGGGACCCACAGGCAGCCGCGATAACTGATATTAAGAGAACCAGCTTCGTATAAGGGGCCCATAATAACTACAGCATCAGCAGGCAACTAAAGACACTGCATGAAGGTGATTTCTCCAGCATGGGAGAGCACAGAGGCTAAAGAGCGTCCAGGCTGAAGAGCAGTGTGGCTGCTGGGACCTCTGGGAGAGGCAACACTGCCCTCTCCCTGCCAGGGCTGTTTGCTGGGCAGGTCGGGGCCCAAGGAATGACCCAGCCATGGCTCCCTACCCAGCACACTGTCTTCACCACTCCCTGTAACTATGTTGTGAAGATGGCTGGGTGTGGTCATTGCAATTCAGAGAAATCAAGATCTATGACCATTTTAGGCAAAGAGAGAAACTTCGAGAATTGCTGAGGACTCGGGAACCTTGTTTTACTTTTTAAAAAATACTAAACCCCCATTCAGCAATATTTGGTTGTCATTAAAATCAAGCTAATCTTATCAAGGGGTTGATGAACTGAGGTGCCACTCACAATTACTGCCTTTCAAGTATTCATGGGGCAGATTTCAATAATTCTTGTTTGCTCCTGGCTTAGAAACTGTCAGAATGATTTTTCTCTTATACTTTCCAATACTTAATATGTATTTAGTGACTATTCTGTGGTTTCCAATCGGCAGTTTACAAGATGACAGTAGAATCCCAGTTCTTAGGCTAGAAATGGATTTCTCCTTCTACAGTTACACGGTCACTCTCAAAAACCAAGAAAGCATATTGCTCAACTCGGGCTCTGGCATGGTTCTTAAAAAGAACTGACTCTGGACTATGGGGGCTTAGAAAAAGGAGATGTTGGCTACTGAGACATTTGTTATGTTAACTGTAAGGGAAGTATCTCACCAATAGTTAAAACTAAGGAGCAGGATTTTTTTTTTTTTTTTTTTTTTTAGTTACATAACAACTACATTTTCTGATTACTACTGGGTCTTTTTTCAAACAATAATAAAAAGGAACCGACACTCAGCTCTGTAGAAATCTACCTTCTTTTAGAAACCTCAGGCCTCTGCACCCCTTTAAACAACTCAATTACAACCACAGCCTCCTATGGCTTCTCACATGCCACCCAGGGCTGGGTAAAAACAGGCAATTTCTTACACCAAAAGGTCCTTTTTATGTAACAAGCAGACCTCCCCAAACCACAACTTTTTTGTCCTATTGATGACAGGCATGAGATCAAATCTTGAGTGTCCCCTAACTGCCCGGACAGGGTCTAGGACAACACAGGTGAAAACGGACAGCAGGGTTGTTCGACTCCCACACCGTCTCAGGTGTTTTCTCAAAGCACAACAATTCTGCAACAGAGACATACACGTAGAAAAGAATCAAACTGTGCGAGGACCCTCAGACCTCCGCCCCCACCAGCTCAACAGCCTGAGCTCAGCGGTCAAATCAAATCTTCTGTCTCACTTTTAATCCAGCACACGACGGACGCAATGCAGGCAGTACATACTATCGAAGCATGCAACAGGTCATCGGTAACAAAACTCGGTTAGATTAAGTGTACATTAAATAAATCTTTGTAGTTGAGTAGAAATCACAGAACAGTTGGTGAGGACAGGTCTGTAGGCTCAGCTTTACATCCAGGTTTTTATACACCAGCAGCCAGATTCACAATGGATAGATATTGCACCGGAAAGATGTGTGCAGGGAAAAGAAATCATCATCACATTTTAATGTTCATGATAAAAAAATAAAAACAAGACCAGATATGACCTCCATGTAGTACATAAAGTGCCTCCGGAATTGGCGCATTTACAACAAAATCTGGTTATTTTGCTACCATTAGCAAACGCATACAAACAGGAGACGTAACAGATCTGGTTTCTACAGTTTTGAATCAAGCAGTGCCAAGTTTCATTCAAAATGTCTCTACTATAAACAGCAAAGAGGAAGTAGAATAAAAGATGACTGTACAGCGTCAGGAAGGGTTAAGTAATTTCTCTGAGGAGAAACGGCAGTCCAACCCTGTCTCAATGTGTTAGAGCATATGTAATTACTTCTAAGGAATAATGGTGTGATTCCTTTCAAGTCAACACAAAATTTGTCATGCTATGTTACAATTCTCTCCGCCTGTAGGTATTATCTAAATTTGTACAAAAAAATAAAAATAAAAATAAAAACCAAAACAGAACTGTAATATCCAGTTTTTCATTCTGAGTATGGAAAAAATTATCATTATGTCTAATATTATACAGGAAATTCTCTCAAAGTACTTGTCTGTAGAAGGTTTTTGGACAAAAACTTGCCTTCCAATTCTAATAGAGGGTGGAGGTGTCAGAGGACTTCAAGAATAAAAATGTCATTGACATTAAGCCCGGTATGAAAGTGAAATACAAAAAAAAAAAAAAAAAAAAAAAAAAAAAGCTCTCTTTTCCAAGTACATGAGACATCTTTAATCATAATAAAGTCTGAAAATCGGTCTAAATCATTTTCAAAAGTAAACATGAGTTGTAATACTATACCTGTAGAGTGATTAATTCCATTCATTGTCATTAGAAAGGATGAAAAATATTTATTAAGGGCTTTGCCTGCAGAGGCACAACATAAATAGCCTAAGTCCTCCTGAAATGTCATTAGTGTACATATCAACCAGTTGGTAATTTGTGGTGGGAAATGCAGGAACTCGAGCCGGGACCGGGTTCCCGCATCCAATCTTGGACAAGTGCATGGCGAAGGCTCGGCTCCAGGGGCCACGCCTGCAGCTGCTCTCTGCCACCGCCTCTGCAAAAGTCTGTTAGGCAAATGCAAAAGTGCAAGCGGAACTTGCTTGAAGAACAACCACCCCCAAGGCAGAGGGTGCTTAATCCACCCCTTCAAATCCTTGAGCATTTTCCACGGCCATGAGAAGTTTCTCTCGTAAATCTTCAAAGGTTTCATATGGAGGTAAGTCAAGGCGATTAAAGCTGCAAAACGAACAAAAAACGTAGGTGAAAAGCCACAACACCACCTCCTAGATCTGGTTAACAAGGCACGGTGTTTCATTAAGAGAATGAAAATGCCTTTACCAACGATTTTGATTATCTGGGGAAAAACCAAACCAAACAAAACTCTAGCTATGAAACATCGACACTAAATAAGCTCTTGTAATTTACAGAGAAGGAACATTTTTGAACGGTCCATGAAACCTTTCCTAGGGTCAGACGCAGATCTTGGAAGAATCCTGGTGGGAAGGGAGACATAAAAAGCAAAGTAACTGACAAGATTTCCAAACCCTGGAACACAGAGTTGATGCTTTTGGAGTTACACACGAATTAAGACTGTGTCTACCTTTAATACTATTACTTACTCCACACTAGGCCTCAAGCCAAGTGCTGTTCTCTGTATTCAATCACTTTATTTTCATCGAAACCCTATGAAGCAGGTCATGTTTATCTCCATCCTGCACAGGAGCTCCTTGAGCAGAGACACAGGGCAAGGTGCCTGAGGTCACACTCTGTCATACGGCAGACCCACCACAGAACCCAGGCCATCCGGGACTCCAGAACACCAGTGCTAAGCTACCTCCTGTGATCAAAGTCAGGCAAAATTGACATTTGCTATGGAATGTTGCATTTAGAAAAATTCCCTTCCTATCTGGAGGCTTCAGCTGGGGGTGGGGGTTGCAAGTCACCATGGCGGTAGTAAGGGTTTTTAGATAAATGGATGGCCTCTGCCAGCCATCAAGCCTACTCATCCATGGGATCAAGTTCAAATCCCAGCTCTGCCCCTTGCCAGCTGCGTGACCCTGGGCAAGTCACCTCGCCTCTCTGAATCTGTCTGTGCTCTGTGACATGGGGAAACTGCACACAGGGTGCCAAATGGATCAGATCAGTGGGTCTGGCATACAGCAAGTGCTCGATTGCTCAAGAGACAGTTATCAGTGTCATCACCCTTCAGTGTTTACTGACTGTCTACATGGGGCTCAAGGCCAACACCTCCCGCCACAGAACCTCCAGCTCTCTGTGAGTGAGAGTGTGTGTGTGTGCACACGCGCGCTGGTGGGGGGGAAGTTCCTGATGTCTGTCTGTCATGAAAACGGCACACACACTTGCCACAGCTCACTATGACGTAAAAAGAGCCCATGTTCACGGAGTACTCACGTGGCCCATCAGCCTGTCTCAGTGTTATGAACCCTGGCCATCACTTCGTAAGGTAGGGTAACACGGCATCCGTATTTCATAGAGGAGGAGCGTAAGACGCAGCAAGGTTAGGTAACTTGCCCTAGGTCACACAGGAAGCAGGAGAGCCAGGTACAGTCCAGGGTGCTCCAGAGCCCAGCTCTTGAGGTGCACTTGTACCGCCTCTGCTGCCAGTGCTCACACTGTCTGTTTAAAACCGGCCCTTCCAGGTACTGGGGCATGCTTCCAAGAATGAGCAAAGTAACGTCTCATGTTGTAAAAGCTAACCACCACGTGCTTGCTTCTGCAGCACATACACGAAAAGCTCACCACTGTCACAGCAACAGAAAAAACCAAATACTGTAGAGGGCCCTTTAACAATCCCTAAATGTTGAGTAAGTCCCTCTGAGCTCCACTCAGATTCTCTAACCGCCACGAAATACTAAAAGACATAGAGAATAACACGGTGCTTCTCAGAAACCCAGGAATCCTACAAGAATAAGTACGAATAGAGGCTTTTCACTTTCTGTTATCATATCAATAAAGACAGGACTCCACATTTACAGATGGCATTTAAAAGAGCCTTTCAAGGCAAGTGGCTTCAGGCTTTACAGAGGGGGTTTTGCAGTCCTGGGCCTGAGACCCCATAGGGGTTGCATTCTTGAGGATCTGTGACCATCGTTTCCCTTTAAAAAAGGTCCATAGATTATTCAGGTTTGAGAAACACTGGCAAGATAAAGACGCAGAGAAGGGCTGTCAGGATCGGAAGTTCCGAAGCATGCTACTTAATGCTTCCCTGCTTAGCATCTTAGTGTTTTTCATCTAAGTGGGTCATAACATCACCCACCTGTTGGGACCGCTGTGATGATGGTATGAGTCAATCACACCAAGTGCTTAGCAACATCCCCAGAAGGTACTGAGTACTTGGTGAGCGTGAGTTCCTATCACTTCAGAGGTCAGGACACACGCACGTAGCTTCCATGTGCACTAACAAGCTGGGTGTCCTTGAGGAGCGCACTGTCCTCAGACGGCTTTAGCGTCCTCACGTGAAAGCGGCACGGGCTGAACGAGGTGATTTTTTGTTTGCTTTAGAGTCTATCTCGAAGGGCAGGTGGGCCTGTGTTTCTTAATGAAGAGTAATTCTAAATGTCCGAGTAGTGACCTTCTACAGAACAAATGAAATGAAGCCCTTTCAATGTCAGATGCTCAACAGTCACCACTGGAAAGCCTAATGAAAGGAACTCTCATCACAAAGACCCAGATCCATCGGCTTCTGCTCTTCTAGGAATTCAGATTTTTATTTTGCACCTTAACTGTGTATCATCATAAAACAGGGAAGAAATGAAACCTATGTTGGCGAAATTTTATGGCAGAACTCTTGCCATGAAACAGACAGTGAAGTTCCTGTTTCCTATGTTGATACAGTCAGGGTCCGGTGGAGAGGAAAGCTGTTTAGAAGTAGCAGCAGAGCAGCCTCACCGTGCTAGCCGGTGCTGCCTGCAACTGCCAGTCCCCTCTATCAGGGTCAAGTTAGTCTGGGGAGAATATCATTAGGGAAACTATATAGTTGCTTTCTTTCCCTGACACAGAAAGAGGAAAATAAGCTCTGGTAAGAGCCAGCTGGGCTGTTCTCTTCCTGTAGGTAGATCTTTGTCCTTCCTTTGAATTTTCAACATGAGTCTGTCCCAGAATCATCTGGGGAGCTTTGGAAATCCCACCGCCCAGGTCACACACCAGACCAATGAAGTCCAAATCAGTGATTTCTTTAAAGCTCTCCAGACGGTTCCAACATGCAGCCGCGGCTGAGAACCACTGAGTTCAGAGTCTTATCTGGGAGGGTCTACCTGTGGCAGAATCATGTGGGCTCCGGAAAAAACAAAAACCAAAAAACAGTTCAATACTAAGACATGTGTCCATGAAGTCATGGAGGAACATGGGCTGAATGAACATGAAATTGGTTCACTAATTTGATTTCCTTGGAAAAGTCTAAAAAGAAAGTGGGTATGTTAACAGAGGCAGTGGTTAAGGGCGCAGGCTCCAATTCTGGTAGAACTGAGTTCACATCCCATGATCTGGGAAGCTGTGAATCAGGTGAGCCTTGGCCCAGCCTCCTGACAGCCCAGGGGAATAACATGTCTCATTAGGATGCCATAAAGATTAAGCAGTGCCTGACCACAGATGATGACTGTGCCCAATAATTTCACTTTTCCTAATATTCATCGGTTAGTACCACAAGCTTAAGTTCTGCATCACCACCCACAGTCCTGGGGCTTGGCTCAACGCCGGTGCCTTTCACATGGAGGCCAGAACCCAGAAAACCACATTTGACTCAGATACTGTTTGGATAAAAGCTCTGAACTACTCAAGCCTTCTTCCGCTCGAATATATGCAGAGAATCACCCACAATGACTGCTCTGGATTTAGGCTGGAGTAAGCTCGCTTTCAAGGCTCTGACCGGCAATGACCGTATTCATTCCATTCGGAGAATCACGTGAATGGTACGAATGGCAAAAACACCAAACACCTTTCTGGTGAGGCAGGGGCATCCGACAGAAGCAAAAAACCTTTCACAGTCAAGTTTTCACATACATTTTCATGAGAATTCTCTCCTAGCCAGCACTTCTAGTTTAAGGGAGGGCGTTTCCTGCAGGGACTGTTCGGTTGCTCATGGTAGCTCGGTATGGCTCGAACAGGCTTTGCAGCCCCTGCTGCGTGAGAAATACAGAGGTACACTGCTCATCGTCTTCCAGAAGGCCCACTCCCGCTGCTTCCTCAGGAGCAAGAAATAAAGGCCTTTGCAGAAAACCAACATGAGGGACATGGGACTTGGCCTTGGCAAAAACTCCCTGAACCTGGCTTCAAGAAACTGATCCCATCCAGTCTGCATTTGTGCTGGGTTTCACGCAACTCTTCAGAAAACAACCGCCATCCTTCTGCCTCACTGTGCCTCCTGAGGGCCTTCCGAGGACAGCCATGCTCCACGCCTGGGCATCCCGGCCACCTGTCAGCCCTCTTCCCCTCCTCCGACCACAGTCACGTTACTGCTCAATTCCAGGGAATTACGGGTTATTCATGAGCATAGAAGGCCTTTTAAAATGGTTGTTTCTACAGGAAATTTTATCCTAACTTCTCAACCAGTTTAAGGTTGGAGTAGAAACCCAACGTGTTTATAGAGGCTGAGAGCTGCCTTATCTAAGTATGGTGAACACGGAAAGCTCCATTACCTAGAAAAATGAGGGAAGACGGACTGGACTCAGAGAAGAAATTCCCCACGGCAGGGAAGCCTGAGCCCTTTACTGCCAAACACAACGAGTGCATTACGTCTTATTAGCACTACTGTACCATTTATATTTTCATCCACATCACTGTCCTTTAATTCTCTAAGCTACTTACAGAGAGGAAACGGGGCATTCTCTAGCCCCGAGCCCAGCACCATACCAGCTAAGCAGTTCAAATACTGCTGTTGACACGCGGGTGTTTTTGTCACTCACCATGTGTGAGCTCTGGGCAGTTTCTCAGGACTGCCCCACTGCTCTATTGTAAACAGCTGAGGACCATTGGAACCTAAACAAGAAAAGAAAAAGAAATGTAAGTGCCTGGGGCAGAAGAATGAAGCTATGGTGTGGTCTGCAGTCCAGCTACCGCCAGGGCAGGGACGTCCCCAGGGGTGAGGCCTGAGACACTCTCTTCTGCTGCAACATTGATACTTAACGCTGGGGGAAGCCAGAGGTCTGCACAACCTCACAGAAGGACTTTGCATCGTCTCTAGAATGGAACTGCACCAAGTTTAACAAACATGACAGTTCCGTGGAAGGGCAGGCAGCTACAGCCTCTCAGCTGGACCCTGGAAATTTAAATTTCAAACTATTTTTTGGGGTGGGAGGGTGAATAAAATGTGACCTTCAGTATGCAAAGTAGAGAGTGATTTTTAAATCTATGGTAAACACTGAAAAATTCTACCTACTGGAGGCGACGTTATACATCAGTTTGCAACCATATGAATGACCCTGCAAAACCTAGTTTTTAATGGTTTACTAAAAAAACTAAACTAGGAAAAAAAAAAAAACAGCCTTATGGATCTCTTTACAAACTGCACCCCAATCCCTCGAGGTAGAAGCACCATTGTATCTACATAAAGTAGAGATATCTATATAAAGTATATCTATATGATATTTACACAAAGTATAGATAACAGCCCTTTCATTGAACTTCTATCCACCCTACGCATAGCCCGCTGTCCTGAAACTTAGCCTTATGCAGAGGCCTGGGAGGCGGGGTTCTTGGGCCATAGTTCACGCCTGGCTGGAAATTCACAGGAGGACAACGGAATCTAATGGTATCCTGCTCACCATAAAGTTCAGCAAATCCATTCATAGGTACTCGCGATGTCCCCGTGACAAACTGCAGTAACCGGATCCGCTTTTCGGCATCCATGAGCAGCACAGCCTACGAACAGAGGCAGAGGGTCATTATATCCTCCACGTGACCCACGGCACATGCTGCTGTCATGCAGGCGGGCGGAACTTAATCTTATTTATATTGCAGTGTAAGACCTAGACAGTTGACTCTGAAAACTGAGTAGTTTTTTTATGGCCACAATGCTAGCTAGCCTCTCTAATCTCAGAGACTAAGTGATCACAACATCTGTCTCTTTCTTCTTCTGCCAATAGGCCAAAATAAATGATATAAAAAGCAAACTCTCTGATGGCACCGAGCTCATGTTTCTGTGTTCGAGGCTTACCAGTTCCAGTTCTCCCTAAGCCAGTTATAAATACACAGTATTTAAAATGTGTCATCACAAGGGGAAGTCAGGTTATGAGATAGGATTTCAGATCGCAGACACATTCCCCAGAAGATACCATTTTATAAAATGGAAAAAACCAAGACCAAAACCAAAACCAACCAGAGGCAGAGACGGGGTTCTAAAACAATCTGTGTAGCTTACACATCTGCAGTATTACAGGAATCTGGGTGGCTTTGCTGGTACTGTCGCTTGGACTGCTGTAGTAAACATCTAAAACCAAGCTAAGGGAGACCTAGACGGGGATTTGAAGACTCTTTTTTTTTTAAATCTCTCTACACTCCTGCTGGCATTTGAAACAGTAATAAAAGGCATTCAGAAATGCGCAAAAAGGCTGGGCATGGTGGCTCATGCCTATAATCCCAGCAATTTGAGGGCCTGAGGCAGGAGGATTGCTTAAGTCCAAGAGTTTGAAACCTGCCTGGGCAACATAGTGAGACCACATCTTTACCAAAAAAAAAAATAAATAAATAAAAGCAATTTGAAAAAGTCAAATGATTCCTTTTTTGGGGTGAAGTAAATAATCAGACTTTCTGGGGGTAACTTTTTTTTTTTTAAAGTTTACTATCTCTCTCTTGAACTAACCCATTCCTATTTTACTTCCATCCTAAGCTGAACAGGATACAAACACTGGCCCTAAGACAATAAATCAAATGTATGTTATATTTGGTTGAAAGATATACAGATCAAAATGTTTGTTGGAATGTATTTTAAAAATGGAGAAAATGACTTCTTCACAGAAAGTGACATCTTGCAAAGCCACCCCTGAAGCCTGTTTACGCCCTGAGAAGCCCCCCCATTTCTATTTACACTTTGGAGGAGCAGTCCCTCAAATAAAAGTCACTTTCACAAGGTGATCAAGGAAGGCCAGTGTGCTTTTGTAGGGACCAACTTCATTCAAGTCTGGCTGTCTGCTACAGTTACAGAAGAGCCGCCATGGGGGCTGCTGGCTCAGTTTGCCTGTTCCATACCCCAGGAGTCCAAGCACTAACAGACCCCAGTGGCAGCATCAGTCCTAAAGTCAGAGCAGAGGCAGGGCGCCACACAGTGGTCACGGGACAGGTGGGGCCCCGGAGTTACCTTCCAGAACCACTGAATGACGGGGTGGTTCGGGCAGTAGCCGTTCTTGTAAATAGAATGCTGCCTCCAGTCATTCACGTCCACATCACCGAGGCCACACATCAGCAACTAGGAAAAAAATTGACCCGATGTAAAAGCAGGATGTGCAAACTGCAAGATCACACACTGAGAAATGACCGTTCTCAGTGCCAGCATTTGGTCACTGTGCCGTGAAGGTAAGCTACTACCAAATCATAACCTCAGAGGAAGGCAGACACCTGTTCCAGACTCCACCTGCCACAGCAGATCACAGAGGCAGCACAGTCACGAGGGCAGCTCAATTCTAACCCTGCACAAGGCCACAGCATGTCATATCGGAAATAGAAATGCCACAGTCGTCCTCCCTACCCCTCGCATCTTACGCATGGGACCTGTGGATTTTCTCACGCTCCAGCAGCATCTGTGCACTACCCTGGCTGCGTTTCCTCCTGGGAGGCTATTCCTCCAAATATCTGAAAGTATCTCCGTACCCACAGAAGAATTAGTGCTTATGACAGCAAGAACGTCTGTCCGCCAGGTCGGTCAATTCTGGTGATGACAAATCACCTCATCTGTCCAAAGGCCTGAGAACTGCAGACATATGCTAAGACATAACTGGGTCTTCGATTTAGCATTTCGTCTAAGGTTTGCTGTTCTTACTATGCAACTCTCCATCATGGGAGGCTTCCTGGGGATGAAAGAAGATATTCCTGCAGAGGTACCAGAATGAAACGGAAAGAGAACTAAGCCAGAGCCTGCAAATAAAGTTGCTAGGCCTGACTGTGCCAAAACCGTGCTGAGAAAACCCAGCTACTCTCTGCCTCAGTTTCCCACCTCTAAGAGGACAGGCTTGAGGTGTATAATTTCCACAGACATATCGATCTTGAACTTTCCATTTTGAGATGAAAGTATAGGAAGCCAGTCTATGGGAAACGCTCACTGATGCGTACGGGACACAGGCCAAGTCCCACCAACCGGGTCTCAACAGACACAGCCTCCCTTCTCCTGCTTCTCCTGACACAAAAAAGGGCGAGACAGTCCTTTGTCTTTAAAACGGCCGTTGCTCATCTACGTCAACAGCATGAAGTTGAACTAGACAATCATTAGAGTACCCTTTGCTACTAGCTTATTGCCTTCTGATGTTTTCCCTCGCTCAACATAAACCATTTCAAGTTCAATGAGATGTCTATTCTATGGCCCCGAGCAGATGCTTATGGCCACCTTCTGGCCAAGACCCCCACCTAACTGCCATGGTGCAGGGGACGGGGCTGAAGCAGAAGATACTTGGCCAGTCTGGTAGTGCAAGCGGGTTGCTGCTGTCCCTAAGGGCTGTTGCAAACCTCGTTTCTACGTGTCGTGGTGAAACACGCCCTCGCCTGGGGCACAGGGCCACGAACCCAGCTCTGCTCAGTGGCCTCTACTTACTGGGCATGTTCCAGAACTGCCCTCTCATGGGCAAGGCAACTACAGTTGATTATTTTTGCTGTTCCTTACTCCCACGTTGGCAAACAAACCCCATAAGAATTCTATGTAACAGAACTCATCTAAACTTACTCTTTAGGACATTATGGATCCAAGAACATTGAAGTATTACTTGTAAAGTAATGGGAGACACTTTAAACAATCTACTTTACATAAAATCATGTTTACAATACAAACCTCCAGCTCATTTTCATCAAAAATTTTAATCAAATCAATAGGAAGCAGTTCTGTGAATCCCTGAAAAAAAAACAAACAAACAAAAAAAATTCTTAAATACCTTGGAGGTGGGGGGAACAAATTTCACAGGAAAATCAAACTTTTCTGGTTAGCCAGAAAAAAACATAATCACACCTTATGATTCCTACGTCAGTGACAGTACCAAGTAACTATAGTTCCAGTAAAAACAGCACAGTCACAATATGAAAGTTCGGAAAAAAAATCATAGAATCTAGAAGACTCGAGTAGTGGAGTCATTTTTGAAACCTGATGAAAATACAGGATACTGCAGGCAGGTGGATTCCAATAGCCACTTAAAACATTGCTGTTGAGTCAGTGCATCCTAAAAGGCACAGGCCACAGATGTGTAAGCGACATGCTTACAAATAATGCGCTGGAGGCCTTGAGAAGAAACACAGAGGGAGGCAGGTGATGGGTGCAGAAGAGCCTGTGTTCAGAAACCATGCTCCAGTTCCCAGTGTACCACTAACTAGGGCGTGATCCAGGACAAGCCTGGCTCTGCTGGGCCCTGTGCACGGCAAAAGCCGTGTTTCTGAAGGTGTGGACAGCCTGCGGTCGGGCCAAAGAATCTGCTTCCTGGGCTTTCTTATCTAAATAAAGGATGAAACCTGCCATTCTGTCCTCCCACTTTAAGTCCCTAAGGCCTCGAGGTGTTTCTAAGTGTCCTGCCTGGGGCTCACTCGTCCTGCGTAAGTGTCTGAGTGAAGGGAAGGCATCGCCCCACGAGAGCTCTGCCTCAGTGCAGAGAAAATCAGGCACGTGGACGCAACGCTGTTTCCGGTGTGATCTTTTAAGTAACGGATACTATCAGATTCAAGAAAGAATTTCATTTTTGGTCAAAGTGGAATACTGTTTAAAATGATGAATCCCTCACCCTCTGCTAGGGACCTGGTAGCACCCCTGATATTAAAAGTTGGATCTGGGCAGCACCTGCTTTGCTCTGTAACAGGGTAAAAGCTGTCCCGAGGTGGCAGGGTACAAAATAAAAACTCAGCTTAAGAAAATGTGTTTTCCATGTACCTGTACAGAAGAGAATCTGCAAGGAATTATTAACATAGCCAGAAAGAAAATGGGCAGGGGATTAAAAAAATCCCCTGTAATCCCAGCACTCTGGGAGGCCAACGTGGGTGGATCATGAGGTCAGGAGATCAAGACCATCCTGGCCAACATTATAAAACCCTGTCTCTACAAAAAATACAAAAATTGGCCTGGTGTGGTGGTACGCACCTGTAATACCAGCTACTTGGGAGAATTGCTTGAACTCGGGAGGCAGAGGCTGCAGTGAGCCGAGATCGTGCCACTGCACTCCAGCCTGGGCAACGAAAGTAAGACTTCGTCTCAAAAAAAAAAAAAAAAAAAAAAAAAAAAAGGCCCAGGGCGGGCTGGCAGGGCACTGTAGGGACTGTGCTTTATCCATTCAGCTCTGAGCCCTCGGGCTTCTTGGAATCTGTCACTGCAGCAAAAGACAGCCTTCTCTTGGGTCTGTCTGAAACTTCAAGACAATGGTTCTAGATCAGATCTGTAAAACATCCTCTTTAAAAACAGGACAAATGTAAAAATAAGAAGAGCCAAGCAGGAGAATGCATGAAAAGAAAAAAAGATGGGGTGTGGGGGCTGCACACTCTCATGCTGGAGACTGGTGAGCAGTGTGAGCTGTGTGATCCTGGCCTTCCCGTGGCATCCCCAGCCTTGCCCCGTCTCTCAGTGCATGATCAGTTCCACCACACCAGCAAAACGAGCACGATCCTCCCGCGACCCGGTACCAGAGGCACATGGCAGAGAACCCTGGCCAGCATGGCTTACCTCCAAGAAGGCATTCATCTGCTTCTGGACCCTGTTCACGAATCTCCACTGGATGACTAAGCTGCAGGAGGAAAGAGGACAATACTGAACCACCTTCGTCATCACTAGTGCTCTGCTTTCTCTGCAACTGGGAGTGCTTCTCCTCCAACCATGACGCAGAGCAGAAGTGGGGATCTATTCTGTGCCCCCACTGTTTAAGTTTATTTATGGTTTCTTTTAAGACTCCCTGGACCAGCTGTAAAAAACCTAAAATCTCACTGGAGATTTCAATAGAGTAATTAACTTCCCCTGCATCAAGGTTTGGCTGGCCTAAACTGCTTTAAAATGTGATTCCATGGAGAAAAGGGAGAAAAGTTCATGGGGCATGAACACACAGGTATGTGTGTATAATACGCACACACACATATACACACTCACATATAAGTATGTATATGTATTTGTAAAGAACACTCAGGACAATGCATTTAGTTTTCTTTTTTTTTTTTTTTTCTTTTTTTTTTTTTTTTTGAGACGGAGTTTCGCTCTTGTTACCCAGGCTGGAGTGCGATCTCGGCTCACCGCAACCTCCGCCTCCTGGGCTCAGGCAATTCTCCTGTCTCGGCCTCCTGAGTAGCTGGGATTACAGGCACGCGCCACCATGCCCAGCTAATTTTTTGTATTTTTAGTAGAGACGGGGTTTCACCATGTTGACCAGGATGGTCTCGATCTCTTGACCTCGTGATCCACCCGCCTTGGCCTCCCAAAGTGCTGGGATTACAGGCTTGAGCCACCGCGCCCGGCCGCATTTAGTTTTCTAATACTTCATTCTAATATCCAACATACTAATATTCAACAGTGACATACAAGGTTTATCAGCAAAGTGATTTGCACTCATAATTTAATGCCCAAATTTAGAGGATGAATGGTAAGACCTCATGTCACTGATGTTCACCAAAACCAAGTTCCCTGTGACAGTGTTTAACGCACAGCGTAATTTATTACAAGGTGAATCTCCTATGGATGTCATCTGAGGAGTTCTATCATTATGAAGGGCTCTCACCTTTGGGGTGGTAGCACTGTAACCATGGCAACGGCCCTGAGGACCAGCCTGCGGGACAACCATTGCGCAGCCATCTCAGGCTGTATCACCTGGGCTACAATGATCAGCCCAGCAGCATTCTTCTGGTACCAGGGGAGCAGAGTTATCAGGGAGCAGCTGGTGATTTTGATCATACTTTTAAAAGTAAAGCTAGCTGGAACCCTGCCTGGCCCTGACTCCCTCCACATTTGAATCCTAACAGAACTAACTGCAAAGAACGATGCATGACACATACCACACATGCCAGAGTCCTCAGACTGGAGACCTGGGTTACCCTGGGCTAGAATATTTTTTCAACCCCACTCACAGTCTCTACTTCCTGAAGGAAGACAATGGTGTCTGCGAGGGTGTCATCAGCTAAGATTGTTCAGATTCAGAACAAGCGTGTCAATTAATGTGACCAGGTAAGAACTGATGGATCTTATTCCTAGACTACGTATTCAGCCTAAAAAGCTTGTAACCTGAGAGGAAAAAGTCTGCCATGTAACAGTTCCACTCTGCCAGGATCTCCGAGTAGACACTCCAACACGCTCCACTGCTTCCTAATTAGGAAGGGCAGTATGTTTTTTCTTCACGGATCACACTGAAGGATGCTAAGACCCACAGTCAATTCAAGAGCTGCCTGAATTCAAGATCTCTGACCAATTCCAAATGAGAAGAAAGGAGGGAGCCCAGTCTGTAGAAACGGAGCACTGAATGCAAATGAGGAACTCAGGCCACTGCGGAAACCCCTGAGAGACTAAACCAGGTGCCAGGAACAGCACACTGCAGCACTCGCCTCACCCCTGAACCAGGGGATTTCCTTGGGAGATCCCGAATGAATGATACGTGTGAAACACACATACACATCGAAGAAGAAAACGTAATGTGCCCAACAGAGAAAAACTTCTGCCTGTTACAGATGTCTTAGAACCACTTAACAACCAGGATTCCAAAAGGACTCAACGTTTTACTCCATTAGCAGAGGCTGAGATGAAGAATACTACAAATATCAGACACAATTCATTAGGGTTGCACGTGCTGAATTCTTCTTATCCATTTTAACTGTTTTTATACATTTCTATTATGCAAATGAAGTTGGGAGGGAGACAAAATATTTTATCTTTGTTGATTGCTAATGTTGCCCACTGGTCACTGACGCCGTGGTCCACTGCTGCAATTCTAAATCTTAGTTGATATCCACATATTCCAAAAGAGCATTTGCCGTAGAGCTCTTCTTCCTCCGCTGCTCCTTTATAGTGCAGCTCACTGGAGTCATGATGTAAGTCAGACTTCCCATCCCACATTCAACTTCCCATTAGCCCAAGCAAAAAAACAACGCATATTGTTGAAAACTGACCAATAAACTCATGCCCATAATAAATGCATGAGCTGTTTCAGCAAAGGACAGTAACCAAACATGCTGTCCAATTTATTCAAAGACAAGACTGTGAATATGTGTATACGTACTCGATATATTCCCTTTTGTTTTCATTTGTGACCATTATTTCTGACCCATTGGGCTTCAAATCCACTTGGTATGTCTGTAATTACAAAGATAAAACAACAATTACCATTGCGAAGTTATCTTGCAGATTATTGTTGTGTAACAATGTCTCACTATAAAGGGAAGACAACATGTATTCAGAAATATTTCCCAGCAAACGGGCTTCTGTGCACAAGAGAATGTCCAATGAGGCTTTCAAATTGCTAAAATGTTACACAGTTAAAGATGTTATCATTAAAGGCAAACTATTTTATGGTTATGACTTTTAATTATTCTTCATATATTAGCAATAATGAAGAGCAACATTTTTTCATCTGCTATTCATTTATCAGGAAACTATGCTTAACAGAGAACAGGGCACACCCCTCAAGACTCCAGAGATCCAAATTCTAACGCATTCCGTGTCTGAAAGTTCCATTTTATAGTCATAAAAAAGGATGCATGGTATTTCTTTCAAAAACTGCACACAGAAACTTAAAGACAAGAAAGAAGCTTAAGGATCCAGGCTGAAGAGACAGATTCATCTGGTTTTTGAAGACTTTATTTGCATCGGAAGCCTTCTCCTTGCTCATCTGCCCTGAAGCTTCTTTCCTTAGCGCCACCCATGATCACGAATAAAGCAGCTGCAATCAGGGCAGCACTTTCTCCTGTGCCCTGACCCAGACCGAGCTGACCACGATGCCATATATAGCAGTAACCAGCGTGAGGGAAAGGAGAGAGGCCTATTTTAAAATAAAATGTTTTTTCTCATTTTAGAAATTTTGGGGAAAAAAAGATGAAAAAATATATCACCTACAACTCTCCTACTGAAAGCAAACCACATCACTGTTTTCATGGGCTTCCCTCTGTCCACTGGTTGCATTACAGAATAAACCAAGCCAGGGCAGAGGGTTTTCCAGAGTAAGTGTTAGTGTGGTCTCCAGGAGGGATGGAGGCTCCACGTTGTGATAAACTCTGTGCTCCAGCAGGGCCGCCTCCAGGGGTTCCCTGGTCCTGCCACCTGCGCCCAGGAGATCCTGAGCCCTCTGACCCGATCAGTTGCGTCTGTGTCTCTCACGAAGTTTCTCTACACACTAGCTCTTGTTCCCATTCACACTGAGATGGCTTTTCAACATAAAACATATTGATCGTCCATCCGGTCCCACTACATTCTCTTTTTCTCTTTATTCAGGAAGGGATCTTATTTTTCCACCATGCTTTCCATTTCTGCAACATCAATTCAACTCTTCGCTGTGCCCAATGTGACTTTCAATCCTGTGTTTCTGGTTTTGCTGACATCCTTCGCCTCTCCATTTCCCTTTCCAGCTGCCGCCCCAGCGCATCCCATTTTCTCCCAGGGGTCATCTGCCCCTGCCCCGTACAGGCTGTGTCGGGGAAGGAGGATGCGAAAGTTTCCACTTGAGGGTGGGGTGGGGATATTTCTACAGCGAAACACTGCCAGTTCGTGGCTGGTTTTCAGAGGTCCGAGGACAGTGCTCATTCCTATCTTTTGCTCCAGGTGTTAATAAACCCTGGTTGCTTTTGTTTCCCCCCCATTTATGCCTACCCAGACTGCCTTGTTCCTTTAGTAAGAGTTTTCTTATCAGATCCACATCAATGACAAGTTAATAAATCCCAGCTCAGGCGTCAGTATTGAGAAGGCTTTTGGTAGAGCTCGGCTACGCAAAAGCCAAATCTTTCCTCCCGCCCTTTCCCCCACAACAGGGAAAGGGAAAGAGGTGAAGTGGGTAAGGATCCATAATCCCTGTAATACACTCCTTCCAGCACTCATCCGTCCCTCGTTCTTTGATCAGAGAGTCTTCCTTGGTGTTGCCTGAAAGTTGCAATTTCCAGAGAGCTACTGAATGAGCGGGTCTGCCACAGACAAGGTGGGGAGGGGAGGGCTAAGGAGGAAAACACTCTGCTTCCTCCAAAAGCAGCACCCAGGAATGAAAGAGAGAATAAGTCAGTGTCGCCAAGTGCAGGGAACTGGTTCTCCCTTTCACTGTGACAGGAAGTCTAATTGGTGCAATCTTTTCCCAAAGATATTCGACTTTGGCAATAGGCATCATAATTTTAAAAGTACATACCCTTCCCACAGCAATTTCTCTTTTGGAGTTTATACCAAGGGAAAAAAATTAGTCAAGTACAGAAAATGTAAATTCCAGATTATACATTTATTTTTTCCTATATATATAGAATACCCACATTATATATATATAGGAATACTCACATATATATATATGTGTGTGTGTGTGTGTGTGTGTGTGTGTGTGTATGATACACAAATATATATATGTGAGTATTCCAGGGTTATACAGAATTATACGTTTATATAGCAAATACTGAATTAGCCTAAACGTCTACCAACAGGGGGCGTGGTTAAAAATATATGGCATGTCTACAAAATAAAATTCAGCACAGTCATTAGAATGTTATAGACTGATTTTACTGACATGAAAAGGTGTGTGTGATAGTAATTTGAAAATGGTATGCAGAGTACAATTCCACTTCTGTAAAAAAAAGATCTCTGTTTGTGCTTACAGAGAATAATTCTGGAAGATATATTTAAAAATTTTAATTCTGAGTTTTCCTGAGATACTGGGAATAAGTGACATTTATTTATTTTACATATTTTTATTAAACTGACTTTATTTTTTATTATGAAGGTTAAAATTTTATAATCAGATAAACTAATAATTTTTGAAAGAAAAGAAAAATGGGCCCATACTACCCATGCTAAATAATGAGGTCACAGCAGTAAATCGTCCTGTGTGCAGCCGTCCAGTATCATGGTTGACTTTGACCCTGAGTTTCTCTGTGGAGGAGTGAGGGGAGGGCCCCAGGATGGGCACAGGAGGAGAGGAGTTTGCAGTTCTGCTCCCGAAGCCACTGGGTTAGGGGTCAAGCCCCCAGATCCCGATGCTTCCAGGCTCAAGCCCTCAGTGGTACAGAAATGTATCCCTCTTGGGTTCGTTACAGGCGACATTTTCATGAGAAGCAATGATCACTCTTCAAATTCCGGGTCCAAAACTGCTGTTGGGGGCTGATGGTGAGACAGCCGCCTGTGGTGCAGGTGTGGTGGTGTCCAGCCCGCCACACTGCCTTACTGCCACCAGCTGGTGCCCCTGAGTCCTTGCTGGTTGGGCATGAGGCTCCACAGGGGTTGGAGAAGCTGGGACCACGCCCAGGCTATGTGACTCTAACCTCCGGACACACAGATTCCCTGCAGGCCTCCATTCCTGCCTGTTCATTGCTCTAACACAGCCTGTGTTCTCCTCTCCTCCAAATTCCTGCCTTCTTAACGTCAGCTGTTGCCACCAAAGGAGGGGAGGGACTGCATGTCTTCAGCAAGGAGCGCAGGGTGGCACCGCGACATGGAGCTGTCAGCCCTAAGCGGGAGAAGTTGAGGCAGCATCGTACTGGGGCCGCTCTCTACTGAACACATCTCCAACAGGTGCTGTGGCAGTGCCCTGGCCCCACATGAGGGTGGCCAGCATCCCAGAGGGTCAGAGACCCTGCAAGGTGACCAAGGAGAAACAGCGAACTGCAGATGGAGCTGGTGCTGGCACCCAGGGGCCCCGCTCCCTGGCGAGCAGGCTGCAGTGGCTCCTCTGTGGTGTAGATTCTTGCCACCTTCAGCCACAAAATGCAGTCCTCCCTCCGGGCTTTCTGGGGCATCGCCCGCCTGTGCCTGGCCTCCTGGAGGACCCCACACAAGGAACGCAGAGCCCAGCCACAGCAGGTGCTCAGCAAGCGCTTGTGGGGAAAAACTGCAGCAGAAAATTCCTCTCTTTACATCTCCTGGCCCCAAAGAAACTTGGCTCTCTTCCTTGCAGAGATCAGAGGAACCTCTGGGGACTTGGCCAGTTAACAACCCGATTCCCACACGTCTCCCTGACTCTCCACAGATGCTCTGCACTGCCTGGAAGGCTACTGAGAATCAGCTTGGATCATATGGAATATACTGGACTCGGATGGAGCAAGGCTTGTCCACTTGACAGACTCCATTCCTGGACACCGAGCACTGCTGGGCAAATACCCACTGATGGTGCTCACAGATCCTGCAGGCATGGCCTCGGGGACAGTCGGCGCCCTGCACCCCCCATCACTTCACCTAGCCAGCCTCTTCAGCAGACATCAGTGCAACTACCAATAGCACGGAGGCAGCGAGTCCATGCCAGCCTTCTGACTTGTCGTCTCCCTAGGTGCCGACCCTGTGTGTCCCTGACTGGCTTGGAGGGGCCGGGGCCTCCACCCTCCTGGGAGCCACCTCCAGCTCTGAGCTCTTGTCCTGGCTCCTTCTGGCTCCGGCCAGGATGCAGTCTGCCCTCACCTTTCTCCCTCGCATTGACTGTTTCTGCCTTTTCACCCACTGCCTTCCCCCAAGTGTTTTCCAACCTTTTAATTCATTACCACCAACTAAGGAGCCTTTTTAGATTCTTTCTGCCAATGGCCCACCTTCCTCTGTGAAGTCTTAACAGAGAGATTCACAGTACACCGGTGGTATGTGCTGTGGCTTTCGGGAGGGCCACAAACCACTTTAACGTCTGAGATGATCTCCTCCTCTAAGAATCCATTTTTGCCTCCTTCGGGTGATTGTTCCCATGGAGACTGGCTCAAGCTGACCCAGACCTGATCCTAAAGAACCTTCCTATATGGCTGCTGCCCATGCTCTCCTCCCCTACTACTGCACAGCCTCTCAAAAACTCTGCCACCTCTTCAAAACGACCAAATCAGGCCAGGTGCAGTGGCTCACACCTGTAATCCCAGCACTTCGGGTGGCCAAGGTGGGCAGATCACCTGAGGTCACGAGTTTGAGACCAGCCCGGCCAACATGGTGAAACCCCGTCTCTACTAAAAATACAAAAATTAGCCGGGCATGGTGGCATGTGCCTGTAATCCCAGCTACTCAGGAGGTTGGGGCATGAGAATCGCTTGAACCTGGGAGGCAGAGGTTGTAGTGAGCTGAGATCATGCCACTGTACTCCAGCCTGGATGACAGAGCGAGACTGTTTCAGAAAACAAACAAACCAAAAAAACCCACAACCAAATCAGACGTTGCTCTGCTGAACTTGCAATAAAGAATTTTTATATGTTAAAGCTCTAAAAGGGCTCCTCGTCCTGGTGGGAGCAGCTATTTTGCACAGCAGTGAATGGGGGTATGGTTCTTCCTGCTTCGCACAGGATCATAGTTCAAATGCTGACATTTCTTCAGTGGAAATTTTCATATTAGGCCCTAGAAACCAGCAGCTCCAGATTTTTACTAATCAGAAAGAAAACAAATTGCAAAATAATGGCAACAGCTGCAGTTTCATTACATGAAGCAACAGCTACCAACCTTCACGGTCTGATATTTCCAACTGTGAAATTTGAAAGAAGCCTGAAAGACCGTGGAAGGCTGACTGCATGTCTTTCACCCCATGGCAACTGCACTCACTCTGCCCCACTGAGAAAGCGACTTGACTGTTTGGTGATGGGGAGGAATGGGCTTCCTTCTGGGTCAACCATTTTGCAGAGGGCCAGCGAGGCGAGAGGCCTGCATGGGCATCACGCTAACGCCCGGATTTCCACATCAACAACTACACTTCAAGTACCCACCGTGCACCAGGCAATGTGCTGGTGGGAAGTACACAACAGCGAGTGAGCACGAGGCAGGCGTGCGGCTGCCATCACCAGGAGGACGCTGCGTGGGAGAGACAGACGCTGCTGACAAACGTCCTGACTAATGTACTCAGACAAACGCATGCAAAGTCTCTGTGGTTCATGCCATGGAAGATACACAGGGTCGGGTCAAGGGCTGGCTTCCCTGATGACGGGACATCGGAACTCAAGAGTGGGAGGGCGTGTGCTCCCAACAGAGGGAAGAGAAAGCAGAGGGCCAGGGCCTGTGATTCACGAGGCTGGGGGAGCAGCAGGCAGAGCCAGGCCACACAGGACCTCGTGGCACAAAGTGAGACTGGGGTCTTTATCTCGAGGGCAGGGGGAAATCCCTGAAGGTTTCTGGCAGAGAAATGACATAGGCATTTTTATTTTCCAAAAAGACCACTGTGCCGTTACGGGAAGGCAAATTGGATGTACAGAGACTAGTCAGGAGTCAGGGGGGAAGACATGAGCTCAGACTTGGGTGTGAGCTAGAGATCGGGAGAATGCACAGAAGTGAGAAAGGTTTGGGAGGTGTGTGAATGAGACTTGCTGATGGACCTGATACGGGAGATGAGATCCATACATGGCTGCTTAACGCGCTCTCAATTCCTTCCCAGAGTGCAAAATAAATACATTAGCTCCCCATTAATCAGGCTAGCTCTCTTAAAAAGGAAAGGCAGTTAATTTAACAAACTGGGCACCTAATTCTTATCTTAATCATCTGGTGGGTCTCTTGATTACCGTATTACTCCACCTGATCCTACAAAAGTCAGAATTCACAACATTAAACGAGGCAGTCTGAGAACTGTTTTTTTTTTTTTTGAGATGGAGCCTCGCTCTGTCACCAGGCTGGAGTGCAGTGGCATGATCTTTGCTCACTGCAACCTTTGCCTCCAGGGTTCAAACGATTCTCCTGCCTCAGCTGGGACTACAGGCGTATGCCATCAGGCCCTGCTAATTTTTGTATTTTTACTAGGGACGGGTTTCACCATGTTAGCCAGGATGGTCTCGATCTCTTGACCTCGTGATCTATCTGCCTGCCTTGGCATCCCAAAGTGCTGGGATTACAGGTGTGAGCCACCGTGCCCAGCCTGAGAACTGTTTTTAAGGAAGATCTGGCCTAAATGACCATCAGAATCTTTATTAGAAGGTTGCTTAAAAACCCCAACATCCTGTGTTTAATTTTCATTTATGAGGTGGAAACAGTTACATTTAGGAAGGTTTCCCAGATCATTTACTTCTGACTGTGGCATTGCTAATAGTTTTCTGAACTGGGTTAATTTGGCCATACGGTTTTCTACGAGTGGGTCCACAAAAAGACTTTTTAAATGCATTTGACACACAAGACTGATTTCAAGTCTTCCTTGGTTCTTGACTTCCACTCCTTCCTTCGTATGTTAAAAATGAAAGGAAGATACTTCCAGGGTGACTAACCATGTCAATTGTTTGGAAATTGGCAGTTTAAGACCCTTCCGTAGGTCCAGCTTTCTGAAAAGAAAAGCCACTACGATTCAACTGATCTCGTTTCCTCATACTGAGGATTCCTATTACTTACAAGTTAAGTAACATTTTTAGTAAGCCAGGTTAGCACTCCTCATTCATTTGCTCAATAAGCACTTAGTAGGCATCAACTACATGCTGAGCACTGGAGAGACCCAGAAGACCTCAGGGGGCTTACTGCCCACAAGTCAGCCAGTACCTCAAGAACAGCAGGGAAAGAGGTCATGGGAGAGGAGAGGAGAATGCGAGAGAGGGAACGAGAATGCGTCAGTACAGACTGGGCACTGGAAAGCCAGCAATGTGGCACCAAGGCATCTCTTGGGACACTGTTAAAGCCACATGGTTTGTTGAGAGGGTGACAGGAAGGATGTGTCAGAGGGTAATGGCAGGGGTGGGCAGGTCTGGATCATGAGGGATCATATGCCATGCTAACAAGTTTTCATTTATGCTGAAGGTCATGAGATGGCCAAGTAGAATGACATTTTCAGGGCTGCATTTGAGAAATATTCTATAAGGGGCACACAGCTAGGGGGCACTGGAGAACAGGGTGGACAGCAGCAAAATAGGAAAGAGGGTGGCCAACAGGAGGCTGTGAGGGCGGCAGTCAAGAAGTGACTGGGGCATAGGCCAGGGGAGTGCAAAGACAGGGACGCGCCAAGGAGGGGGAGTCACAGCACACGGCCACCCTGGGCACGGGGAGATTGCGTGAGGAGACAGGGAGATTCCGAAGTGACGCCCAAGTGTCAGGTGGGAAGGGAGGGTGGTGACAGTGATGAGACCATGACCGACGTGGAGGCTGGGGAGGCAGACGTGGCTTTGGCACTGGGACCTGTCAGCCTTTCAGGAGAAGCAGTTTAGGCGGTGGTCGAACCTGGGAAGGCTGGAGGCTGGAAGGGAGATGTGGGCCTGAAATAGAGAGGCTGGTGGTGAGCAGAGACAGATGCAGCTGGAGCCACGGGCAGGATGAGGACATCCAGATAGCATGGGTGAGACAGAAAAGCAGTGGGTGGAGGACAGCTGGCAGGGTGACACCTGCGTCCACAGGGCCAGCAGAGGAGCTAGCACTTCCAGGGACTGGAGACCAGCAGGGAGGGGTAAGAGCGCGGGGGGGAGGGAAAGGCACCGTGCCCTGCAGGCGCCTCTGGGGGCAGTGAGCCACTGGTGTCAAAGGCAGCAGACAAAGGAGGCGGACAGGGCTGGTGACAGACAGTGCTCTGCGTCCTGGGGAGGCCACTGGAGACCTGGAGGGGCAGCAGCTGAAAAGATTCCTCCCTGTCCCATCACAAGAACAGTGTCCGCTTGTCTGTGAGGATTCTTAGGCATAACGCACAACACAGAACAAGGAAAAAAGGGAGGGGCAGGGTGGAGGGGGCACAAAAGGTTTGTAATGGACTTGATCATTTACATTAAGCCACAGGGTCTCTCGCCTCTGGTGTGTGAAGTCCTCCTCTGAGCCTCCCCCAGCCAACTGAAGGGCACTATGGACTCTCCAAGTGCCACCCACCTTCAGAACTCCTTCATTTTTTCTGATGGCAACCCTTACAAGGAGTTCTATGGTCTAATTCATTTCACAGCCATGGAGATTCAGTCTGAGAGGTAGGAAATATCTGCAGGCTTTTGTGGAAGGACAAGTACCAGGGTCAGAGAATATCCTGAGAATACCTCCCGAGCCTGGGTGGCAGATGAAGCAAAGGCTTCAGATTTGAGACAAATACATCCTATAGATTCCTAGGATGATGAGATTTCCAGGCAGGCAACTTCATCTTTGAAGTCCACTTTCAGTGGTCCAACCAAATCCCTGCTGACCAGTCTGAAATTGACTTTGAGGATTAATCCAGCCTGAATAACAGCGTGGGGGCAATGCAGAAGGAATGGCAGAAAAACCCGAGCTTGCCGTGCCGAGCCCCACAAGACAAATGTTGCCGTGACAAGAGAACCATAAAACAGAGAAAAACCAAGGCCCCTCCAACATCACCCACTCCCGGTCATGTATTTACAGTGCTAAGTCAACAATCACACTATTTTTTAAAGTACCTAAATTCTAAAACCAAGGCACAAATGAAACATTCACATTTGCTTTGGATTAGAAGAGGTGCTAGCTCATGCCTTCAAGGCCTCTTGGAATTTCTGTCACTTTGCTGGAAGAGAGAAATGGTTGTAATTGGAGTGTGGTTTCCCGGCCTGACAAGAAGGTGCTGCTCCAATGGGATGATAATTAACACCTATAGCTCCTGCTGGCTTTTTCTAATCGTCCAGCAAAGTTGTGTTACAGCCTGTCAAGAAGAAAATGCCCCTTGAAAGCTAAAGAAGCATTCCCAGGGTTACCCACATGTACCTGTCCAAAGTTTTCTTCATCGATACAGAACATGAGGTCCAGCTCAGTAGGGTCATTCTCCAGGATCCATTTCAAAGAGTTGTAATATTCACTATCCTACAGAAATGACACAGGAAGGAAATTCAACATTTCCCCACCCGCAAAATACAAGCTTATTTGACTCCTTTAAATAATTAGGTTCTAATGTAATTCTGTGGGGAATGCTCAAGAATTACCTTACTAATGCAATGTTTCCTGCTCCATCCAAACCAAATCTTCTTTAATTTAAAATATAAACAAACAAACTGCTTTGGTTGCATTGGGGTTGCAGTTAAATCCTGTCCTTAGTAATACACAGTGGAAGGGACCTACTCTGGATGTGGATGAAGCTGCCTGCTGTACTGGTTCACAAAATTTAACATACAGAGATCAGTATACTTTCTTTCTTTTTTTTCTTTTTTTGATACGGAGTTTCCCTTTTGTGACTCAGGCTGGAGTGTAATGGTGCAATCTTGGCTCACTGCAACCTCCTCCTCCAAGCGATTTTCCTGCCTCAGCCTCCTGAGTAGCTAAGAATACGGGCGCGTGCCACCATGCCTGGCTAATTTTTGTATTTTTAGTAGACACCGGGTTCCACCATGTTGGCCAGGCTGGTCAATATACTTTGTATCCTTTTGGAGTGAAAATGTCACGGCTGTAATTCCAGCACTTTGGGAGGCCAATGTGGAGGATCGTTTGAGCCCAGGAATTAGAGACCAGCCTGGGCAACACTGTAAGACCCTGTCTCTATAAAAAATAAAGTTTTAAAATAGAGTGAAAATATCTGAGGAAATTAGGAAGGACAAAGAATGTTCTAGGCTGGGCATGGTGGCTCATGCCTATAATCCTGTAACCCTTGGCTTTGGGTGGCTAAGGCAGGAGGAGAGCTTGAGGCTTGGAGTTTAAGACCAGCCTAGGCAGCATAGCAAGACCCCATCTCTACAAAACAATTTAAAAATCAGCTAGGCATGGTGGTGTGTGCCTTTAGTCCTAGCTACGTGAGAGGCTGAGACAGGAAGATTGCTTAAGCCAGGAGACGGAGGCTGCAGTGAACTATGGTTGTGCCACTGCACTCCAGCCTGGCAAACAGAATAAGACTCTGTCTCCAAAAAAATAAATAAGTAAAATAAAGTTTCATTTAAGTAAATACCAGTGGTTTTAAGTTACGTCCTTGCCTATGCTTTGAATCACTCTGCAAGTTAATGTCAGCAAAAAGGATGGCCACTCTGGTTTCAGAATCCAGAGCAGCAGTCACAGTCACAGTCCTGGTCCCACCATGGTCTCTCCTGCTGGAAACACGATGGGCTTCGAAGAGGGGAAAAATAATACACACACTGTATTTTAAGCACTAACTGTCAGCATGTGGTATAAAATTAAGAGAAATTCCTATGCTCCTAGCATCTTCACCATACGGTGATGAAAGCAGTAAGCACAAATATAAGGTGGAAGTGGAGACTGGAATCGTAGATGTGCATCCCAACCCACCGTGACTGCCAAACCAGCAGCGGGTTCAAGGGCACTGGTGGCCTCTTCCTCTCCTTTCATACAATGAGGGGCGGAAATACTAAGTCAGCGCTGGTCAGGCCCGAGGACACAGCTCACCTATCCAATTGTGCCCAAGATATAGTTGGTGGCACAGCCAGGTGAAGTCATGCAGGAGCTTTTTAATTCGTGAGCAAACACGAATGAGCTGCGAAAACCCCAAATGCACAAACACGCTTCCCAGTGGCCCTGCGTGTGTGCTGACGTGTGGGCAAATACCCATCCCCTCTGGACGCAGATGTGGAGTAGATGTAGAGGTACATTAAAAGAAAAACAGAAGCAAAGTAAAAAAAGGAAAAATTAAAAAAAAAAGCGAAAGTTAAAAAAAAAAGGAAAGTGAAAAAGAATATCAATTTTTGTTTTATAGAAAATCCTTCCAGCTCTAAAATGGTCTGTCTAGGTAAAATCAATGTTAAACGCAGCATGAAAACCCAAATCACTGCTTGGAGAACGTCTCAAGTGTTCACTTGCTTAAGCTGCAGCATCACTCACGTATGTCTAGGATGTCTGTGTGATATTCTTTTACTGTTTTGACCTTTGCCTCCGCCATTTTTACAAGGTCAGGAAATACAGGGATAGCCGATGAAGCTCTCAACATTCAGTGGTAGCAGTTTTTTTTTGAGACTCGCTCTGTCACAACGCTGGAGTGCAGTGGCGCAATCTCGGCTCACTGCAACATCTGCCTCCTGGGTTCAAGCAATTCTCCTGCCTCAGCCTCCCGAGCATCTGGGACTACAGGTGCACGGCACCGAGCCTGGCCAATTTTTGTATTTTTAGCAGAGATGGGATTTCACCATGTTGGCCAGGATGGTCTTGAACTCCTGACCTCGTGATCCACCTGCCTCGGCCTCCCAAAGTGCTGCGATTATAGGTGTGAGCCACTGCACCTGGCTTTAGTAGTAGCATTTTTTTTTTTTTTTTGAGATGGAGTTTTGCTCTTGTTACCCAGGCTGGAGTGCAATGGTGCAATCTCGGCTCGCCACAACCTCCGCCTCCTAGGTTCAGGCAATTCTCCTGCCTCAGCCTCCTGAGTAGCTGGGATTACAGGCACGCACCACCATGCCCAGCTAATGTTTTGTATTTTCAGTAGAGACGGGGTTTCACCACGTTGACCAGGATGGTCTCGATCTCTTGACCTCGTGATCCACACGCCTCAGCCTCCCAAAGTGCTGGGATTACAGGCTTGAGCCACCGCGCCCGGCTAGTAGCAGTTTTTATAGAAAACACAGGCTACAATAGATCTTCAGCTGTCTCTTGGATTTAGTAAGCACAAGGAACTGGGATTTGGATGTATCCACGCTAGGTACCATGGTCCCAGGAATTGTGAACAATGATTTGCTTATTACAAGAATTAGGTAGATTAATGAACTTTTCAAGCAATTAAATGTCTCCTGTTGTTCACATGGAATGAAACACCCACAAACGTGGCTGAGACTACAAACGTGGCTCCTCAGTACCTTCCCAAAAAGCTTAAGTGCCTGGCGATGGCCAGCGTGTGACCTGCATGTACTCACCACAGATTCCATGTCATTCAGGGTTATCTGCTTTCCCAACATCATCTTGTAAAATGGTCTAATGAAGAAACCTAAAATACAGTAAATGCTGGGTTCAGTTTCAGGTCTTTGATACTGCTGTGTATCAGGGCATGGAAGAAAAGATGAACCTGCTTTCAACGTAAATTAGAAACCAGGACGGAGAAACCAAGGGCCTTCTGCGGTACGGCACAGGTGAGTGGCGAGGCCGGGGGACAGAGGCATGATGGCAGCTGTGCTAAGAGAGGGCGCAGCAGAGCGGGGCCAGAAATGCCTCTGGGAGGACAGAGGCTCATCTTGACAGATGAGCTTCAAGGTCAAGCAGATTCTGCAGTGCAAATCGGGCCTAGGAACTGGGGAGAAAAGGGCATACTAAACCGAGGAGCAAGCCGGGGGACTTGCAAGCAGTTTGCCAGAGTGGGTGGACAGGCCAGAGGAGGGGCCAGCGGTGCATAGCCCACATGGGGTGCTGGAGAGTTGGGGTGCTCTCTGAGGGCAGCGGGGAGTCAATACAAGGCCAGGTGGAATTTCACCTGCCTTTTGTTATCACTGGTTGGGCAGCAATGGGGAGAAAGCACAGGAAGGGGACAAGCTGGAAATGCGGGAGACCACGGAGAGGGCCCGTGCAACCTCCCAGGGAGGGACGGCAGCAGCCTCAGGGGCGCAGCGGCAGCGAGGCTGACCTGCAGGCGTCCCGCGGGGGCCTCCATTTCACCCGATCCAAAGGCATCACACACCTCCTCACATGGGGCCCTGACCCCACCAGACCTGGGGCCTCGGGCTCCTGCTTCCACTGCTTCATCCCCACACCAGGCACCAACCCTCTGGAGCACAGGCCAACTCTCTGAGGCTCAGCGTGGCCCTAGAGCTACAGACCTCAACAGACTCCAGCGTCTGGGGAAGTAAAAGCCTGAAGCCGACCATGGGGAGCAGTGGAGAGACGTGCAGAACGAGCCCTGTCGACAGAGACATTCCTGTCTGCGGGGAAACTTGAAGACACTGCTGATGAGGCCCAGCTGTGTGCACTCTGACTCTTAGATGTGCAATTCTAGGTTTATATCGTGATCACTCTTGTGGAGGTCACTCTAGCTGGCTCCTAGAGACCCTGAGTGATTCCTGCTTCCATCAATCTCCTTCCACAGAGCCTTGACTCTGAGCTGGTCCTCACTCATTTGAAATGACCCCAGCCTCTGAATGCTCAAATGCTACCCCACCTCCGAGGTGTAGCTCATCCTGGGAAAGATTCCCTGAGCCTCCAGCCAAGTCGTTTTCTCCTCTGAGGACTCAATGTGTTCTCTTCTGCTCAGACACTGTCGCTGTGATTCTTCTGGTTTTGTTCTCATCTCTTTTTCCCCTACTAAAATATAAGCTGACTGAGGTCAGGATCTTATCTGATGCTTTCTATTATCCCCTGTAATAGAGGGTATTAAAGATGCTGTAGCAACTGACTTGCATATTGTAACTAAACCGACCTTCTCAGAAAGTTGGAGTGAATCTGGGCAGGTTGAAATAATCTATGGCATGACTCTAAAGCTGCAAATTAAAATATATTCACACTACACATAAGGGGGTGTGGTTTAGTTTTCTTCTAGAGGGAAAAAAGTATTTACTGCCTCCCTCCCACCAAATAAAGTATTAAAATCAGAGCATCAGTATCAGCTACCAATTAACAGTAAAAAACATACTCACGGGAAAAGTACGGAGTGTACACCAAGTATTTATTAGAATAGCTAAGGCTCCATAAATGCAATGAACATAGTTCCCTTGGAAATACCTTTCCTGTACATTATTTCAATGGCAATCTCAAATCCTTCTCTCCCTCTTCCCACCCTCAACCGCTCTACCTCCAAGCTCTTAAAAAATATTTCTAACGCTTTTTCCTCACTCATGATTTCTGTAGCGTTTTCTTAGGGACACTACTTTTGAAATAACCAAATCTTTTAGAAGTCTCTACTATAAATACATAGATACTGCCAGGTGGAGGGTTTGACTTTTTCAAGGTACCGTGAAATTCTTCCATGATTTGTATGTGCTAAATAAGAATGAAATTATTTTGTGTTGTTTCAGGGTTAACGTCTTAGCTGAGCAGTGACATTATTTTGAAATTATTTAGTCCCTTTAAATTAAAAAAATAATTTGGGGACAAATGCAATAATCACAGAATACTGGATGAATGAGATCATTTTAATTAACGTTTCAATTAGTTTTTTCCCATCTGTTATCAAATCTTGTTTTCGCTACAGTTATTCCAGAAAACATACAAATGTATAAATACATAATGTTCTGTGCTTTACACTGAAGTTAAAAAAACTTTTGTTTTTAACTGTGTGTAGACACTATGTCTTCAGTGCCCGAAATAAACTACCAAAGAAAAGCACATCCTTTACGGGCAAAAGACAAAAATACTTTATGAGTAAACCAGTGAAGCTTTTGCTTAAAAACCCATGATGGGAAAGATAAGACACCTCCCAGGGAACCACCGGCAGCACTGAGCTATTTTTATTACTTCAAGACTTACCATCTAAGAGTTTCCCATGAAATACCGCCAGGCCAGCAACTCTTCCAATGAAAGTGAAGTAGGACAAATGATCTTCATTACAAAGGCCGGAATTAGGATTGATCTGAAGGGTGTAGTTGTCCCTTTTGAGGAGAAAGAGAGGAAAAGGCCAATCACACTTTCAAATGCAAGACTTTGCGTATTTCTTTGCCACCTGTCACTCAACTTTTACAGTGTCCTTGAGAGCATTCTGTGCCTAGTGTGAAAAGGTGCAGGCTAGAGGACATGACTTAGCACACGCTCAACCATGACCCACGTGGGAGGCTGATGCGTGTGCGCTATAAAGTCAATTAAACCATGTTACGCTGCTGATGCTTGACTGTTTTTGACCTACAAAAGTGTCTATTTCATATGGTTCAGCCAAATATCTTGGGGAGATAAGAAACTCCACACAATAAAGAGGCTGTGCAGGGATTCCCAAAGATGCGAGTACTTTAGCTTGTCTCTGTGATAAAGGAAGGTTAATTCTTTCTAGAGGCTTTTGGCTTGGGCGTAAGATTTTTGCTACGGACTCAACCCTTAGTCTGTCTTCTGATCACTACTCTGCTTTGAAAAGGCCTCAAGGGGATTGGAAAACAGGATATGGCTCTCTCAACAATGCAAACCTGCAAATGTTTAGATTTGTCCAAACGATCTTGCTTGGTTCACAACCATGAGGATCAGTGGATTTCAAACTGGGATCACAGACAGATTCCCTCGGGGGGTATCCCTGAAAATGCGGAGGAGAGGTAGAGATCTTGTCTCTCCCTACCCTGCCCTCCGTCTTCAATAATTGGATAAGTCATACATAGTGAGCCTTATCTCATAGGACTCAGTAACAATAACAACAAACCAATTGGCTAGCGCGACCGAAAAGGATGTACTAAGGCTGCCTTCCAAATGAGGCGCCAGGTGGGAGATGTGGGGAAACCCACGTGCCCTTAGAGCCCAGGGCTGGAGTGATGATAAATGCCCTTCAGCAAGGTCAGCGACTATTGTACTGGGGGCATGGGTTCAGCCTAAGCCTTGGAGGATTCAGAGTCTGGAGGAGGAATGGCTGACCTAGAAGTAGCCGACGTTTGATTGCTCAGAAAGCAATTTCATCTGCTTCAGTTTCCAAGCCTGGCAATGCTGAAATCCTACCTCAAGGGGAAACCTGTTTCTTTCCTTACAGGGGCAGGGCATGGTCCTAGATCCTCAAAGTCCTTACAATTTGCCTTTAGGCAGAGACCTTGGAAACCACTCTTGTTAAAGAAATACTTCCCTGTTTCTTTGATTCTAATGCTGACAAGTTCTCTTGAACACTGCAAATGAAAATCGCCTCCTGTTTCTTACCATAATTATCCATGTTTTCAACTCCATGAACCCAACAGACAAGACAAAAAGGAATGTTAGATGTTCACAGAGTACATTATTTCACCAGGTAGAGTCAGAACCTGTTCTAGACTTGCAAGGGGCCATAGGGTGAGAAGAGAATAAACTCAGCGGAGTTACAGCATCTCAAACTTGTGAGCTGCTTATTCTTTCATTCTGTTTAATTTCATACAACTGTCTCAGTGGGGGACACACTCTGTGCGTACATGGCCATATACTTACGTTGCCGAGTACTCAAAGAGGCCGTAGTAGGGGTTGAACATCTCTTTGGACAGTAAGAAGAACCATTCTCTAGCCACACCCCCATAGTCAAGACCTTTCTCTGATTCAAACTCAATCCATAGTCTAGCTTTGAGGACATCTGGTCTTTTCACGGACATAATTCTGCGATAGGACTCTTCAAATATGTTGTTTCTGTGAAGTTTCATTTCAAACCTATTGGGAATATCAGCCTACACAAAAGACAAAAAGCAAGCACATAATCATCTAGCAAATACACACTTTGCTTTCTAATAAAAACGACAAAGCATAGAAAAGATGGCAGTCCTCAAAGAAACGGGCAGTGACAAATGGGTCCAACTGAGATTCTCTCCTTTAGAGGTTTTACCTCGCAGACAGAAAGCCTCGCTGTGTCACAATGGGACACTCGGCATCCACTAGCAGTGGGCAGGCTGAGTCAGAAACTCTGCTGCCCAGAAGAAAATCCTCCTTGCCCCCTTTAATAAACAACTCTGGGCACTCTCCAGTCAATGGCAACTGAAAGACAACGAACTCCATCTGCTGTTTCACTCAAGAGACTTTAGCCCAGGTAATCAAACCTATAATAATTCCCACCTGGCCAGGCTGGGGCCATGTTCAACTCTGGCAGGGCCTCTGGTTGGTAAATATAATCCATTGGTGCCTCAGGTCCATTTTGTTGCCATGGGGAGTGGCACCCTCATTATGCCAAGTGTGGGGAAAGCAGCCCAAAGCATGGTTTGCTGACATGAAAATAACAAAATAGGTCAGGTGTGGTGGCTCACAGTTGTAATCCCAGAACTTTAGGAGTCTGAGGCGGGCAGATCATGAGGTCAAGAGATCGAGACCATCCTGGTCAACATGGCGAAACACCATCTCTACTAAAAAGATAAAAATTAGCTGGGCATGATGGTGCACGCCTATAGTCCCAGCTACTTGGGAAGCTGAGCAGGAGAACCGCTTGAACCCGGGAGTTAGAGGTTGCAGTGAGCCAAGATCACGTCACTGAATTCCAGCCTGGTGACAAAGCGAGACTCTGTCTCCACTCCGCCCCCCTCAAAAAAAAAAAAAAAAAAGAAAGAAAGTAACAAAACACTTGACCAAGGTTGTGGCAACTGCCTTCTGCAGAGAGGTGGTCCGGGGTTGGTCTGATTAAGACTAAATCTGCAGATATGGTTTCCAGGTAGAAGACACTGCTATGTGAGAGTCACAGAGTGAGACTGGGTGATGACCACCAAGTCATTGTCATTACCAGGGGACGTGACTCATGAAGAAAACACTATGGAATTTTCAGTATTCATTTGAGTTTTGAAGGTAAAGAATCATTTCAATAGCAGTTATCCACAAATGCTTGAATCAGGACTTTGGAACAGAGACCAAAACCCCTAAATGAGAGCAGAGACTGTGCCCCGTCCAGAGAAGGTGTCCCGGGCAGGAGTCACTGGCTGAGAGGAGGAGACAGGAAGAAATGGGGACAGGGCCCAGGCCACTGGAGATGGTCTGAGCTGTGGCAGGTTCTCTCCGCTCCCCAGAGGTATAAACATACTGATGGAGAAAACTGCTAAGGTGGAATCGGAAAGTAAAACGGAGGACGCAACATTCAACAATTTGGGGGTGGTGTGTCATTAGAAAATGTAACGTTGTAATTTAAAACACTGCCCATAAAAATTTTTAGAGTTTCTCTGTTTTAAACTGCCAGGGATAATTATTAGCAGAAAATTACATTTGGATCTAATACTGTCAATTATTATAATATAACTTTATATTACAAATATTGTAGGTGAAACTAAGCTTTTGCATTTACAAGGAAGGATTTGCATATTTTTTCTAACTGGGATCCAGGTTTATTAAATATGATAACAGTGCATAACTGAATGGGCTTCCCCAGAGTTTGTGACTAGGGTTCTGAATTATTTTATATCCCATAAAAATCATTCCTGTTTTTTTATTCATTACATATCAAATTACGCTTCAGGTGATTTGATATGTAACACTGAGTTAATCTTCACTTATTATTTCTGTTAAAAAGAAAATTCAGACTGAAGAACCAGGAGGATCAAAGTGAGTGAGGAAAGGAAGGTAATATTTTTAGTATTCATATAAAAGTAACAAATTGTTCTCACTAAAGTAACTGTGGTAACTTACACATGACTAACAGAAAGCATTTCTGGAAGGCAAGATTACTCACAGGTTTCTTTAATTTCTTCCTGAAGTAGTCATATTTCTGCTTAAATTCTCTGGAGTACGGAACAGCCTGGAAGATAAATTTATAAATATAGATAAAGCAAACAATATACTTGAAATTTTATGTATACTGAGCCAATATTCAAGAGAATTTCATGAATCATAAACCGAAAATTCTCACTTTTCAGATTATCCATGGAAAACTTAGATAATGTCTACACAGCACCGGGGAAAGTCCTAGAACGGATGAGGGCTATCAGCTTTGAATGGTGCTTTCACCCCTGAAAACAGCTACACTGCTACTCAGGGGTATGCTACACAAGTGACATGCTTTCCAAGTGACTTTTGTCAGAATATGAGTCAGGGTGTTTCTCTTTTTCTTTTTTGCTGTGGCTTAGCTAAGAGTTATTGGCTAGATACTTTTAACATACAACCCAGAATGACCTATGCTGGCATTTTGAAGTCTAATCATGATTTAAAAAATCTTTGTAGGGAAATATAATGAGCAGAAAGGGAAGTGAACTGACATTCTTATCAAGAAATATAAAATCAGGTAGATGCATTCTCAAAAAATCCTCCATTTAGGAGTGAGAAGGTTTGTCCCTTCATATTTTGTGGTCTTGGGCAAGGATTTCTTGAAATCTCAAATGCTTTATCTGTGAAACAGAGTGATGGTACCACAGTTGAGGGCTCGGGAATTCAGTTAACTATACGTATTTAAAAGTTGCGATATCTCTTCAGGCAAAGGAGTAATATCTTAATGTAGTCATTTAAATAATCTTTATTTGTTATGTTGTAAAGTGTCTCATAATATCTTAGAGTCAGAGCCCTGACTTTCGGCTATTGAAAAAGCTTACAGTATTTTTACGAAGCAAAAAGGATTGGTTTTTGCATATACACAGACGTAACTGTGAGAGCCTTGAAAACAACTCGTGGCTTTTTAGGCCCTAGCATGAATTTCAGCAGAGAATACTTCTGCTGGTATCATTTTCGCCTAAGTTAATGAAATATACTGATCCTTACTCTACTATCTCCAGACTCCAAACCTTACGCTTTCACCATACTTATCCTGACCAGAAAGAGAAGAAAGGAAGAAGAACTTCCCTCCTTTACAGTTTTAAGACATGTTTATATAAAAAACTAACCCAAAACAAAACAACCACTCTTTCAGAAAATGAGCATGCCAGTGTTTTGCTCTGTAATCCAAAAGCAACAAATACATCATATTTATATAGCTTAGGAACATTTATACTGACAATTTGTACTGCCTATGGTCTTTTCTTAGTTTTTAAGCCAGTCTTCTTTGATTTTTCCACTGAACGACAGGTTTGACCTCATACCCTAATTATTTTAGGCAGTATTGAGTCTGATGAAACCACAGAGCAATTCTGAGTCTAGGCAAGGCATAAATTTGTTAATACCTGGACAACCATCAAAATAAGAAAAAGAATACAATGTTCTGACATAAGCCAATAAAGATATCATCCTTTCTGCTCTACCAACGCTACCTCCCATCACCAACTAAGATTTCCTCTCTAGTTTCTTTCTCACTTTCTGGGGTTTATTTGCTGATCATTCAACTGATACTTCGTGAGCACCTACTCTGTGCAAGGCATTTTGGGTGCTAGAAAGATAACGGTACATAAAGCAAGGTAGCCTTTCCAGTTCCTTTCTGGAGCTCACAAGCTGTTGAGAGCAACAGGTAATTAGAAATCAATGAATAAACCGTGTTAGTGCCATGAGGAAAAAAATGACCCCACATGAACTAAAAAAGTGACTTCCTTCCGTTCTCTCCTGCCAGTGTTAGAAGGCCTGAACTCTAAGTAGACTCTCATCAGCTGGCTTTGCAACACATCCTCTCTACTAAGGAGTTTCTTCACTGTGCAGTGGAACGATTTGACTACAAACGTGACTCGGCTCTTCTATTTCGGAAAGTCTGTGATTCCCAGCAATTATTTTTTGTTTGTTACTGTATTCGTGAGGGTTCTCCAAACATCACGGTTACATCACAGTTCCCCCACTCCCGAAAACGATGGGAAAAAAAGCTTAAACAGTCATCACTGTGTATGCAAGTTTGACTGTCTTAAATGACAAATCCCCCAAGGAGCAGATTTCAACATGTGGCCCCCAGTCTGTGATACCCATTCCCTTGCCTGCTCTGTCTCCTGGCAGGGGCTGAGGAGGTGTGGGTGGAAATGTTGAGATATTTCAGGCCTTTCTCCTTCTGGGGAATGATGCCTGGGAGCTGGAAAATCACTGTCTTCCTCCTGTACTCATTATCTTTTCTCTCTAGAGGTAGTTCTCATGACAGAACAAGAAGAACAAGTTTTTAGATTCTCTTCCTGAAAAGTGTCGCACAACGTACCAGGACAGACATCCTAACAGCGCAGCTTCTGAACAGATTACACGTACGTTTCTTTCTTTTTTTTTTTTTTAATTGGATCAAATCATTTGTTCTCACTTGAAAATCTGGAATGTCATTTTCTGGCTTCCAGTTTGGCTTGTAAGATGAGTCCGTGTGAACAATGAACATGTCTGTTGATTAAAGCCCTTTTGCTCTGCATTAAATCTGTGTTCCTGTTTTGGATACAGAATGAAAGCCTGCCTTACTGTGCAAGTTGGTTCTAAATGTTTCCGCACCATCACTCTCCAGGTGACGCTGGAGCCCCTTGGATAGAAGGGCTCACGCCCGACGTGCTGACATCAGTGTCACCAGCACATCTGGGGCTCCAGCCCTGACTGTGACCCTTGCAGGGACTGTCAGCAATACAATCAGCTTTCTGAGCTTCTGACAAATTGGAGATAACCACATTTGCCCTGCCTTCCTGAGGGGACGGCTATGAGTTTCACATTAGCTGATTATAGAGTTCTTGGAAAAATGAAAGTGTTATACAACACGAGATAGTGTTCATTACAGCAGCATGCATGAGCAGCACTTACTAAATGCTATTACTAGTGATCTCTGTTACACAGAGAGCATGCTAACTTACAGGAATGCTAAACACTGAGCTGCACAGAAAGGGTCCCCCTCTCCCTAAAAAATATGTCGAAATGCTAGGCCTACTTAGAACTGATATTTTTAAAACCTGGGAAGAGAAACTCAAGGAGCTAGATAAGCAGAAAGACTCACAATTAGAGAAGTCAGTCGGCACTGGACCTAGACAGAGGGGCTTGGGTTTTAATCCTCCCCTGGGGACACACAACTTGGCCTTCGGTCTACATGACGTAGAAAGAACAGTCATTGTTTAAACCCTAACATCTGGAATGGGACAAGGAAACTCTACCCACCGGACCAGGGAAGTTGCAAGGAAGCTTACCTTCTGTCCAGGACCATAAATGGGAGAAAAACAAAAAGAAACAGACCTGTAATAAATCCATACTCCAAGCCTGTGCCAAAGTGGGTATGAGGTCCACAGTTATACTGACTGGGGTGCATGAACCTAAGCTAAGAAGTTAACAGTAAATACAGGTCAGGACTTACAAAAGCCTCAAAGGAAAAAAAAATGAGCTTGCTCACACTCTCCCCCTCTTGCATGCACGCACACTCGCACGCACACACACACACACACACACATACACACACACAAATTATAAACTGAACTAGGCAATAATCTACGTTCTTAAGGAGAGTTTATAGACGTACTGGGAAATTCAATCTTCCTAGGACCAGAGATAAGAGAATAATCTGAAAGAGGCTAAAAAATAAATATCTTAAAAATAATAAAGAGATGAAAGCATCAAAAAATAAAGAGATAAAGAGAACAGGACAGAATAACCATGAAGACAAAAGCAAATTTTAAACGACCAAATAAAACTTTGAGCAATTAAACCTAGTCATTGAAATAATAAACAAGATGAACTGATAAAGAGATTACAAAAAAAGCTTAAAGAATTAACTGGAAGAGCTAAGTAATAATTCACAATACATCAGTGTGTGAGAGAGAGAGAGACAGAAAACACAAAATAAGAGAAAAAGCAGACAATGTGAAAGAGAACTAATATCCAATAGGAGTCACAGAAACAGATACTTAGAGAATGGGAAACATGCAGTATGTGAAGAAATAATAGCTGAGAATTTTCCAGAACAGAGGAAAGACATAATCCCCATATTGAAGAAGCCTGAGTCCAAAGCAGAATAGATGAAGAGAACTCTACACAGAGATACACGATGATAGTGAAACTGTAAAACATCTAAGACACAAGTAAAAATTCAGAATCACCAGAGAAAAAGAGCGATTTACCTACACAGAAATGACAAGGAGACTGACAGCAAACCTGTTCTCATCATTTATGGAGGCCAGAAGACATGCAGGAGTAACTCCAAAGCACTGATGGAAAACAACTTAACCAAGATTTCTATCATCAGCTGAACTTCATATTCAACAGAGAGGTCACATGAGACCTTTTGAGTCAAAAAGTAAGAGACATTACCACTCTCAGACTCTGACCACTGGTGCTGCTGGGCAGAGGTGCTCAAACTTGAGTGGGCATTGGCATGCCCGGGAGAGCTTTTAAAACAGACTGGTATCCCAACCCCAGAGCTGCTGATTCAGTAGGTCTGGGGTAGGATTTGAAAACTTGCATTTCTAATTAGCTGTTGGGGGTGATACTGATACTCTGCTCAGCAGACCACACACTAAGAACCATAAACTGTACTATACTTCACTAAGACCAAAACTTAACTCAGAAAAAAAAAAAAAATGGGTAGAAGAACCAATGGTGGACGAACCAACGGGGTGGGCAAAGAAATTCGATTACGTTTGGTAAAATTAAATCAGTATGGACGGTAGGGAGAAAAAAAGATAACCTATTAATGGCTATTTGACTATTAGAAAAGTTTAAAGACAAGGTAGTTTTAAAATTCCACCCAACAATGACGTGGCAAATGGGAGTGGGAAGAATGGCATTCTAGTTTCCTGAGGTCCTGATGCTACCCAGGAGAGCAGACAGTGGTTCATTTCAATCCTAAGTCAAGGACGTTGGTTAAAAAGTTTAACGTGAGAGCGAAAAGGATAGAAAGTACAACCTGCAAGCACAAAAATGGAGAGTACTCTGTCAATCAAATAAAAGGCAAGAAAGAAGACGAAATATCACGAGAGAGAGAAAAGCTATGCTAAGCAAATACGAACAGAGAGAGAAAGAGAATGCAGTCATATACATCTCAGACTACACTGAGCAAGCAACAGTCACCACCGACACTGACACAACTATCTTGATTGGATCCAATAGGGAAACAGCAACGAGAATGTAGATAATTTGAACACTACAGGCTTGACCTAATGGACACATAAAGAACCCTAAATCCAACCAAAGACACAATACACATTCTCTTTAAACAACAAAAGAACATTGACAAGAAATGATCAAGCTTCCAATGAAGTTTTAAATATCCAATAATAAATATTCTACAGACAATATTCTCGGACCATAATGCAATACAATTAAAAATCAATAAACATGAATAGGCAAAACCCTCCCATACTCTAGAAACTAAAAAGCATAGTTTATATAATTTATAAGTCAAGGAGAAAAATCAAATGGAAACTGCCAAATATTTAGAACTGAATGACAACAAAGGCCAAATGTCTACACTAAGTTGATAATTACCTAAATACATATTCTTCTACTGAAAGCAATACCATGAATAATAATGGTAACGAAAGAGTAAAAAAGGTTATTAACAGAAAACAGAGAGCTCTTTCTTGGGGGCAAATCTACTTGGCTTTACCATGCTCAGCAATTTTCAATAAGATTTAATAAGGACCAGTAGTGTTGGAGTGACAGCTGGTGACTGGTAAGTGACAGAAATATTTGAAAAGGCTTCAAAGTTATGTCAAAAGTCTTCTGCCCCTTGAAAAGAGTAGTTTCTTGAATTTACCTTGTTCTAATAACGTAGAAGAGAAAATAATATTCTAACAACCGTGACTGTGAATACATATATCAAAAGGAAGCATCACAGTAAGGCAGTGTTAAAGCCACATAGAGAAAAATGTTGACTGCTTTTACCCAGGTATTACTGGGCACTTTGCCTAGGAAATAGCACCCAGGTGGCTGAACAAATCCAACAGATAACTAAAGGTAGTCAGTTACCAGGGCATATTTGCAAGGCAGTATCTTTTAAGTTTTCAGATGGACCTATCTTAATAATTCAAAACACAATGTGAATGGAATCAGATGAAAGCCATGAAACTGGAGTTTTAAAACTACCTGCTGGCTTCTTAGCTCTTAGCTCAGCATGTGATATAACAAACTTCTGTTCCTTTTGCTCCTCTAGTCTAAGAATTCCAAATTTGCAACATCTCCTGTAATTCCAAATTATCTCCTTGCATTCATATGACCACTGACAAACGCTGGTGGTGTGCTATCTGCTGATGAGTGTGGCTGCATTCTACAGATTCATCCACAGGTGTGTGATACCAAGTGTCTTCTGATGCCCTGGGGAGTGGGGTTCTCACAGCACCTTAGGAACACAGTGTGCTATGGTCTTTTAAGAGGTCATCACACCTGCATCAGAACTGATTCTTCTTCTAATCAGCAGGTAAGAGGGAACCACAGTAACGTTGTGGGTCAGCAGAGTTTAAAATTCTTAACTCTACCAGCTCCGGAAGTTAGCTGCAATCTCACCCAAATTTCCACAGATTTTTAAAGTTGTAAAAGATTTAAACTTATTGCATGCGTTTACTACTCCTGGCCTAAAGAAATGGTAAAACTCTATGAATACCGGGCTTGGTTTTGCTTCATATAAAAGGGAAGGGAGGGAATTTGGATTATGCTTGTAATCCACCCTTTGATAACAAAGAAGAAAAAATGTTTAATTTTGCTGTCATAATTAAGCTATTTTTTTTTCCTTTATAATTAAATCCACCTGAAAAGGCACATGCAGCTGTATCTCACCTGAAAACTTCGGTAAGGAGGAGATGGGAGCAAAGTATTCAATTTCTAGTGAACTACTCAATCACACCAGTCCCTTGACATCATTGTTATCAGTAATACACAGGAAATACGTAACAAAAAATCTTATACTGAAGAGGCAGAATTTGAGAATACTGACCGGACCAGTGATCGCTGGGTTCTGCAGTCTCGGGTCTTCCCACTGAGTAATTTTGCTATCTGAAAATGTTAAAAAAAAAAAAAATCAGGATATTAGTTCAAATCTATGTAAAGAAAATTTCAGAAAGAAGTATTTCTGGATTCTTCGAAAGCTATCCAATCCCCCACCCTGTGTTCTAAAGACAAATTAGTATTTCAGAGTTAGAAGGTAACTATGCGCTATATAGCAACCCCCCCCACATACTGTTTAGTTAAAAACAATCAAAAACGCACAACTAAAGTGAAACCATCTATTCATAGTGTTTCGGGCAAACAACTTGCTAAACCGTGACTGATAAACCCCTGTTCTTTCAAGGATTTATAACTTGATTTTCATTTCATTGAAAAAAGGCATTTAAAAAGTCTTAGTTTCCCAAAAGGCTAACAAACACACAGGATTTTTTTTTTTTTCTATTTCAAATACTTTTCTCTTCACTTATGGTGTTGAAACATTGCTTTCAATTAAGAATCCTGCATTGAACAAATGAATAATCTATTACATGCGTCACTCATATGCACACAAAAATCAAAGCAGCCGAGGCAGTCCGAAAAAGAGAATTAGATACAGCAGAGGAAGATTACAGAGCACGGCTTCTGTTTGGTCACACTGGCAAAAGGTGGTTTTCTTTCTTCCAAATGCGTTAATGTGAACAAGATTGTTCAATGGTATCTATACCATTACTTGTGTAGGTGATACTATACAAGAGCTACCTTAGATCACTTGGGGTTTGTAACTGTGCATAATTAAAAGGAGTTTATGGATTCCTGTGTGTGTATTGGGAAGGGGTGGAGGGAAGGAGAGTGCAATGGACTCACATGAAGGGTACGGGGAGGGCAGACTGGGGGAGAGTAGGTTCACTGGAGTTTTTGGATACCTAGGTTACAAAAAAAAAGAAAAAAAGAAAAAAAGAAAATTATTCGAAAAGGATGGCCAGGAGCAGTGGCTCATGCCTGTAACCCCAACACTTTGAGGGGCTGAGGCAGGAGGATCACTTGAAGCCAGGAGTTCGGGACCATCCTGGGAAACATAGTGAGGGCCCATCTATACAAAAAGTAAAACAAAAAACCAAAAAACCAAACAAACAACAACAACAACAACAACAACAACAACAAAACAAACTAGCCAGCTCTGGTATACACCTGTAGTCCTAGCTAACCAGGAGGCTGAGGCAGGAGGATTGCTTGAGCCCGGGGATTGCAGTGAACTATAATTGTGCTACTATGCTCCAGCCTGATCTGCAGAGCAAGACCCTGTCTCTGGGGGCGGGGAAGAATATTGATTCTGTTTATTTTCTGTAGACACTGTAAGTAGGTTGATAAGAATAATTAGTGAATTCTGTTTTAATGATCATATTAGGAATTTCAGAAAGTCTTATTATTATTTTAATAAAAGCAGAGGAAAGCTACAAAAAAAAGATAAAGATACCAAAGCAAGTGATAATTGTAGAATCTTTTGTTTTCATGCTGGCAGAAAATTTACATGAAAAATCTCAACTATTTGAGAAGATCTTGATGGAAGCAAAAGGCATTTTTGGGGCCCTTACCTTTCATTGAAGACTTTGGAAAGTAAAAGTTGCTATTGTGATGGAAAACAAGAGAAAAGAAAACCAAATAAAGGAAATGGAATACAGCTGAGTAAAAACTGTGCCTTAAAACACCAAGTTGGATTATAACCGTATCAGTGGAGACTGTCATCAAAGCAGAAAATACATTCACAACTGCTGACTCATGACGATTCACAAGTCCTAAGAGCAGACCTCAACTTCAAGCTCCATCTTGGACATCTGCACCTGGGTTTCCTGTAAGAACTTCAGCTCAACTCTACCAAAACCAAACCTATGATCACCCAACACCAAAACTGGTAATGTGACCTTGCCTTCCACTGTGCAGTATCACAATCCACTTACTGTCCCAACCAGGAGCCTGGCCACGTCACTCACTCTGGTGGTCCTGGACCATCCCTCTCTCCTCTCCCTGATAAGTTCCTTGCTAGAGAGCTTTTTTTCCCCCTGAACTGTTGTTCTCTGGACTTCACTGGGAATTGTCTCAATCTCCCTGATTCAAGATGTCCTCTACAGCTCTGCCAAAAGGATCTCTCTAAAGAACGATTTTGACCCCATCCCTCCCCTCTGGGAAATCCCCTGGGAGCTCCCCACTGCCTGTGGCTTAAGCCCGAGTCCCCACACCTGGCAGATTCCCTACGGCTTGGCCTGTGCACCACGCTGGACCCTACGGCACACTAGCTGTTTGGAGCAATCCTGCGTTTCTCTGAATGTGACAGCATTCACACGTATTCACACCTCTCCGTGCTTCCTAGGATCGTTCTTCCTGGGGGTTGCCTGCCTCAGTCCCACTCAGTGGTTGTCATCCATCTGAAAAGTAACCCAGTCCCTCAGGGCCTCTTGCAGGTCCCCCATCCCTGTGCCCAACCACCCCCTCAAGTAGATGCAGGTCTTGCCTCTTTCGTTTCTGTGTAACAATTGATTCACTCTTCTAACACATGAACTATCACCCAGTACTCTGCACCGGACCTAAGCTCCTAGAGGACAGGGAATGTGTATTATTTATCTTTGCAACCTCCTCTCTACCACTTAAGACCAGTTCCAGCAGGTAGCAGGAACTTAACACATTATTTTAAGAAACAACTGAATGAAACTGATGGTGCAAACAAAGACCCTTTAAAACAGCCCCAGCTTTTGGAACAACACAAGTTTCCACATGGTGACAATAAAGAATTCTGCAGCCAAGTATGGTCAACGCATGAAAGTATGGTAGCCAGTTATCCAAGGACAAGAAGAAAGTGGAAGGATGAGAAACTCAATGTAGCCATGATGAACAGGTCTAGTAAGACTGTCGACAGGAAAGACTAAAATAGGACTTCATGAAGTTACTGGAATTCAATTTTCTCTTCTAATGTTGTAGATAGGATACCTGTGGCCAATTACTCAGCTGCTAGGCATGCCTGGTCTTTAAGAAGAATGAAATCATTCCTAAAAAATGTAGAGATTCAGTTCAAGACCTCCCCTTAATCTCCAAGAGCCAGGAGCTCTTCCACAGACCGCAATCACAGGAATCAAGGAGTCTAAAAACATTAGTTTTGATCAGTCATTGGTTTTGAAATTAAATCTTTAAGATGGCTGAGTATTGTTAATCTTGAAAACCTATCACTTCTCAGGAAAGACATAGGAAGCAGAAATAATTATTTAAAGAAAAGTAGATCTCATCATCTTGTCTATAATTCCATGTGGATCACATGTGCCAGCTATCCTGGAAGATAGGATGACTCTAAGCAATTTACAATATTATTGCATTCACAGCAATGTGACATATGCAGGCATAACCTGGTTGCTGTCCTACAGGCATTATGACAGCAACATCAGATGTTGAATTTTGCTAGAAAATTGCTTAGAAAAAGAGGCTTTATTCTGATGGAAAAGACATTCTTAAATGTTATCTTCCAAGTAATTAAACCCATTCGGAATATACGCGTCAGCCTGATAAAGCCTCTTGAAAAGATATTCTGCAGTTCTCACAGACTACATTTTGTGGAAAGGCAACGCCTTGACTATTTTGCTGCTGTGTGCTGCTCTCCAGCTTTCCATTGAGTACACCCTGATGAATTATGGAGAAATGGCAGAAACGTAGCATGAACAGCAAAGGGGGCTCTCGTAAACAAATCCTTTCCTTAAATGGTTTTTGGTCACCTAATTTATGCTGTATCTCTTTAACAGAGTCTTTCAATATGGTTGTGCAAAGGCAAAAGAAATTTTAATCTTCAGGTTAATGGCCACAAATGTTGTATTGGCACAGCTTAGTTGCATCAGGCTCTGTATGGAGTATACATGGAGCCTTGGGGGTGCTGTCCCAGCAAGTGAAATGAGAAAATGTTTGAGCAGAGTGCTGGAGTAACTGCAGAACTGATCAGGAGTAAGGAAGAACCCAGGCACCTGGCATGTAGTCACTCTCTTCCACCTTCCAGTAAGCTGGAATTGGGCCAGCCTCAGACTAGTGCCTGTGGGAGGCTGGAGGGGATGTGTCTGCTGCTCCTCAAGTGTGTTTACTCCACTTTCTGATCAAAGACAGCAACTTCCTAAGAGCTCCACCACTGACCCTCCATAACCCTGATTTCAAGTCACCATTTATCAAGCATCTGCTATATATTATACTAGGTCTGTAACACCACTAGTGAAATAGTTGGTGATTTTTACTATTTTAACGTATGCTAGGATAGTGCTTTGTAATCACGTTTTTCTGTTTTTGGCTCCTTGCAGTATACTAAACACATTCACGACATTCTTTTTAGGTTGACCTAAGCATCAGATCTCCAGCCAGAACACTGTGACGATATTGTGCGCAATGCATTCTATGTGTCACAGACCAAGAGTGTTACCAGTAAAGACCTTGTTTTAGTAAAATGATCAGTATTATTCATGCCTGTCTGAAAACCAGATTGTGACGCACAGTATAAAGGAAACTTTTTTTTTTTTTTTTTTGAGACAGAGTCTCTTATGCCACCTGGGCTGGAGTGCAGTGGTGTGATCTTGTCTCACTGCAATGTCCACTTCCCAGGTTGAAGTGATTCTCCTGCCTCAGCCGTCTGAGTAGCTGGGATTACAGGTACGCACCACCACACCCAGCTAATTTTTACTTGTATTTTTAGTAGAGACAGGGTTTCATCACGTTGGCCAGTCTGGTCTCGACTCCTGACTTCAAGGGGTCCTTCCACTTCGGCCTCCCAAAGTTCTAGGATTTACAGGTGTGAACCAATGCACCAAGCTGGAAACTATTATTTTGTTTTTCATGGGAAAAAGAGGTGTGATCTCTCTCTCATTTTAGTAAATTCTCTTAAGAGTAAAATAATAATAAATAAATAGTATATTAAGGAAAAAAGTAAGCTACACACATATGTGAAGGCATTTATGGCAGGAAAAATACTTTATGCTTACTACGAAATTCTGGAAAGTAGGCAAATCAGCACATTTTTTGATAACAGACAAAAACGAAGTCTCTGCACCTTGAAATATCTGGTTTAAACCAAGTGTAGCCCACCCCTCTAAATACACCTAGGATTTCTACTTTCAGTTGAATTGTAAACTGCTGGTACTCTTGCTTAATTCCATTTATAATAAGCCCTCAACTCCCAGGCCTGAATGTGAAGTTCTGTTCACAAAGTACTCGGCCTCAAAGTTACATCTGAAAAGTGTACTGTGCCTATGAGATGGTGACCAGTCCTCTATGTGGAAGAATTACCTGTAGCCAGACTTCTCAGTAAGTGGCTTATCAATGTGTCTTTGTTTAGTTATGAAATTGTGAAGCCAGGGAAACCTGGTGAGACTTTCTGTTCATGAACCAAATAAAAGCAAAGACCAAGATACTGCCAAATTGCACACATGGTTTGAACCCTACATCTATTTGAAGGTTTCTTTTTAATACGTTTTTTCAGAAACTTTAAAGGACATGGAAATATGATTCCATGAAGAACATGTCACCTCCAAAAAGAATGAGAAAGAAAAAAATCCCACTGGCTAAAAAGCAAACTTTTATTAGTTGAACTTTTAGTTGGAACGAGAAATCACACACTTATTCACAGGAGCTGGAGCAAATATCTATAGCAAATATACTACGATTTCCAGAAAATCCATGTATATTAGTGTTGTGGGTGCAAGGAAACATGCCATGAATAGAAAATAAGGTCAGAGCGGGCATCCTGCCAAAGGACCCTTGAAGGCAGTGTTTAAAAAACTCACATGCTGCTTCAAGCACTGTTCACAGTTTTGACTAAATAATCATTTCTAATCTTATTTTCTATTACCAGAGTGTATTTATTAAATGTGCAAAAGTCAAGGGATCAACCAAAATGTAGTTTAAAAATTAAAAATAAAAAAGAAAACGTTAATAGGTCACAAGATCAGATTGGGTGAAAGCTTGATGGGCTACTTTAAGCAAACTTGGGGTGAATGCACAGTACCGTATGAAGGCACTGATTCTCTGGTATCATTTTCTCCACATAACACCTGGCTGCCTAGATAAAGAGTAAAATGACAAAGCTTTCACTATAATGTTTGAATGACTCCCTTCCCTCGAACCCGCAACTCCTGTTGTGTCCATCCCACTGCCTACTTACTATGATCAATATAAAACGTTCGGCCATCCAAGTGAATTCTTTCTTCCCAGCCAGGCTAGTATTCAGGGAGGGAAGGGAGAGAGAAAATACAAACATTAGCCAGGAGTTCCAAAATCAAAGGCAAAATTTAACAACTACAGGACACCTTTGTACTCTTTTCTGCCAGGGTAACATTTTTGCATTGAGAATGAACTAAATACGAACACTTCAAGTTAACTCTTGACAATGTCTAGCAACACGCTTTATCACATGCTCAAGTCTCAGATGTGCTGACTATATGAAGAACCGGAAATAGGCTGCTAGCTCAAAAGCTTGAAAGGGTAACTGCAGCATTCCATGAACAGTGGGGCTTGAAGTTGAGTGGCTCACTGAATTAAACAAATACTGAGTACTAAAGGAAGGGAAGAGGGGTTAACAGAAAAATGTCAGACACAGTTACCGTATTTGTGTTATCTAGGTAGTTGATGATCTAATACAGGCATTATCTGCTACAAACTTTTGCTCGTCAGACTCAGGAACTAAACAGATTTGGATAAGTTTTTAAAGATAAAGCTGGTATGACCTCCTTATCTGCACTACCCCTATTTGCTATCTGAACCTCAGGAATCCAAGAGATTCTGAAAAAAATGCTTTCTTTCATTTTCTAAATTCACTCTCTGGTTCTTTCTGTTTGAACCCAGGAACTACACAGATTTGGTGTGGCATACCTGCATAACCTAATGAATAATGCTCAAATGTTGCCCTAATATACTAGGCAAGAAAAAGGTTCTTATACTTGGAAAACAACAACAAAATCTCCCATTTAAAAATAGCCTTGGAGTCCAACCACTGGAGCAAATATCTATGCCCTGTCATCCCCCACGGCTTTTTAAAATTGAGAGCGAGACGTCAAGGAGGATGTATGTGAAGGTTTCATTCCAAATCCAATTTTAAGTATGTAGCTCAACTCCTACTGAACTGTCACCAACAAGGGAGAAAAAAACTTAAAAAATCTGCAGCTTAAATGACTTATAGAAACTTTCCATGATTAATTAGACCTTCTCCTCCCATACTATTTTCATTACTTTTGTTCTGATGACTTAATCAGCGATATGGCTGGAACTCAGTGGTTGCTCAGTTACAAGATAAATGAGTGCCACTTAAACTGTCACCTGCAGAGAATGTCTCTTGAACATCCTGTGTACAAGGTCTAGCTTCAACTAGAGGCTAGTAATTCCGAAACCTCTTTCGCAAGTACTGGGTATCATATGAACTATAATGTACAATTACAATTCAGCTGAACACCTAATTCTATTAAGCACAAACCAATGAGAGCCAGGACGCCTGGAGAAAGAGAAGGCCCACAGGGCCTCCCCATCAACATTGAGTGGGTAGGTGAACAGACATTTTCAGACCATTCCATGTGTCTCCAGTGTACTCACAGGAAGGGGGCCAAGGTCATTGGGATTTAAAGATGTCTTTGACCGCATATGTACCGGAAATTTCAAACGCGGATCTTCCTGCAAGAAAGATGTAACAGACAGTAGATGTTAAGTGGAAGTATCTCTGTGTAGTCACTCGGTACTTTTCCTCTTGAGGTGTATGTTTCAAAGCAACCAGACTGTCTGTGCCTGGAGCATGAGATGGGTTCCATCTCTCTGCTTCGTACAGGAAGCCTGGCTGACCATCTCTCAGCAGACTGTACTCTTCCTTCTTGTGATTGGTGGAAAGAAGAGAGTAAGAATATTTACATGAAAGGTTAACCATTTCCCTGAGACCTTGAGAAGGAGAAGAGGAAGAGAGTCCTGGCAGTGATGTTACTAGAGAAACCCAGAATGGAGGGTACCAGAGAATGTAGCAGAAAGAGGGCGTGGGAACAACAGCTTCTAAATCTCTCTATGGGTCCCAAGCTCCTGGGGAGGGGAGTGCGTGGTGAACACAAGGGGCAGTTGTATTCTCCTCTACTCCTTCCTGAACTTGGCAGATACTGTGAATTTAGTCTGTGAAGTCATGTGGCTACTCCAGGGGGAGTCGCCTTCATCAGACAAAGTTACAAAGCTACGATATGACTTTAGTGAGATTCTTGACCAAGTTCTGCAAATTAATTTTTTAAAGTTTACAAAAATTTTTTCTTAATGCATAGGCTTCTTAAGATACCACAGAGAATCAACAAAACTCTGACATCTTGGGGCAGGCTTCATGATTTCCAAGGCATGGTCAGATGTATGATCTTGCAACAGACTTTGTTAGGAGGTTGGGCACATGGTCTCTGTTTCTTTAGATGAGTAAATGCAGTTTCAGAGAGAAAAAAAAGTTGCCCAAAGGTTATGACCCAGAGCCCAGGGGCTGACTCTCCCTTATACAGACCCAGTTAAAATGCAGTGTAGGCCAGGTGTGGTGGCTGACTCCTGTGATCCCAGCACTTTGGGAGGCTGAGGTAGGCAAATCGCTTGAGGTCAGGAGTTCGTGACCAGCCTGGCCAACATGGTAAAATTATATTCCTACTAAAAACACAAAAATTAGCCAGGTGTGGTGGTGTGTGCCTGTATTCTCAGCTACTCGGGAGGCTGGGGTAGGAGAATTGCTTGAACCCAGAAAATGGAGGTTGCAGTGAGCTAAGATCATGCCACTGAACTCGAGACTGGGCAACAGAGTGAGACTCCATCTCCGAAAAAAAAAAAAAAAAAATGCAGTGTAAGGCCAAATGCAGTGGCTCACACTTGTACTCTCAGCACTTTAGGAGGCCAAGGCAGGATTGCTTGACCCCATCCTGGAGTTTGAGACCATCCTGGGCAACACGGCGAAACCCTATCTCGGCAAAAAAAAAAAAACCCACAAAAAATTAGCTGAGTGTGGTGGTACACGCCTGTCCCAGCTACCTGAAAAGCTGAGGTGGGAGGATCACCTGAGCCAGGAGCTCAAGGCTGCAGTGAGCTGTAAGCTGTGATTGCATCATTACATTCCAGCCTGGATGATACAGTGAGTCCTGCCTCCAAAAAAAGAAAAAAAAAAAAAAAAAAAAAAAAAAAAGAAATAAAGAAGAATCTTTATACTCAAAAGATTAAAAAATAAATGATAAAACTCAGAAAAACACATTGTCAACCAAATAAGCTTAAGGTTAAAAAGAGTAAACTGTTAAAGACATTTGACATGAGCTTCATTCAATTTTATAACAGAGCCTTTGCTGCTGTCAAATTACTGATTTTTCTGCTTCCCAAGTCAACCATCTAAGTCACAGTATCACTGAATCATAATTGTAGATCTTGGGAATTGACAAGAATCAAAAAAGACCATGAACAAAAATCGACCTTTGCTTCTTGTTAGCTAAGCAAATTTTTAAATGAAGAAAGAAATCATCTATCTTAGCAGTTGGTGATGAATACTGACCCTGAACGAATACTGACCCTGAACCCAATATATATTTCAACAGGTTTAGCAGAGGCACAAAATAATGACAGTATTCTATAGTATGCTGACATACACAGAATATAAACAAATATGCTAAGCAGATTTAGGATTGAGAAGGTCCAAGAAGCTGATAATCCGGTAAGTATTTGTGACTGGTTAACTACTGACAGGAAAAAGTGAAAGCACTGAATTACCACTCAATGCTAACTCTGATCTGGACCAGGCAATGCCACAACCAGCAGGGGATCCCTGCGTTTCCACATAGCCCATAAGCACGCCAGGTTTAGAGAGAGCCTAGGACTGCTATTACATGAAAGAGGGCAGGGTTTCTGGAGGCCACACACAAGGCCAGCCATGCCTTGGAATCACACGTAGGCTATTACACGTGAAAGACAATCAGCCCCATTGGTAAAAGGCTGGTGATTTAAAGGGGTAGAAAGGGGGAGGAAGAGGCTGAAATTAGAGAAAAGTGCCGGAGATGGGGGGGCAGGAGGAGCAGTGAGGGGCAGAGCATGACGTATAAAAGCAACTCAATTTCAAAGGTCTACTAAGTGGCCTTGCGTGGAAACCCAGACTTCATAGACTGTGAGGGCCAGAGGCCTTGAGGTTTATAATGTTATTTTATTGTATCAACAATAATAAAAAATAATGGAAGCAGCTGCCATGAATAAGCTCTGGGGGCTAAGACTAGTGGTCACCCCTGAACCCCCACTCCTACCGAACCACTCGAGGAGGCAGGCATCTCTCCTTAATTGACAGAGCACATGAAGTGGCAGTCGAGGCTCTCTATTAGCTATGGACAACTTCAGGGCTGATGAGCAGTTGGAATACTAACGAGGTCTCTGATGATATGGAAACAAAAGATCCAATGCAGAAGGTATAGCTGGCTGTTTCCTCCTTTCTTCGGTGTCATAAGGGAACTCTTGTGTGTGTAATATAAAATTGCTTCCCTCAATCACGTTACAAGTGTTAAAAGTGTTTTGTTTTTGTTTTTTGAGACAGTCTCGCTCTGTCGCCCAGGCTGGAGTGCAGTGATGTGACCTTGGCTCACTGCAACCCCTGCCCTCCTGGGTTCAAGCAATTCTCCTGCCTCAGCCTCCTGAATAGCTGAGACTACAGGCATGTGCCACTATGCCTGGCTAATTTTTGTATTTTTAGTAGAGATGGGGTTTCACCATGTTAGCCAGATGGTCTCGATCTCCTGACCTTGTGATCCGCACGCCTTGGCCTCCCAAAGTGTTGGGATTACAGGCGTGAGCCACTGCACCTGGCTGAAAGTGTTTTTAAACAGCATGCAACGAACAGTATCTTTTCAAAAAAGGCTTTCATAATTCAAAATATATAAAATACAGGGATTAAAAAAAAAAGATGTGCCTTTTTTCTTTATTTTTTCCATCTTAGAAGAGATCCAGCAACCATGCCTAGGGTAAAATGAGTTTTATTAGTTTGAACTTGGATGGAAAACGAACCTGCAACTTAACTAGGGTGTAATCTTGCTACAAAAATGAGCCCATGCTTCATCCTGTGAAAGGCATAAATACACTAATATGGGTTGAGCATCCCTCTCACTCAAAATGCTTGGGACCAGAGGGGCTTTGAATTTCAAAATACTTACTGGTTCACCAACCCTAATCTGAGAATCTGAAATGCTCTAATGAGCATTTATTGCCTGAGTGGCATGCTTGTGCTCACAAAGTTTCAGACTCTGGATTTTGGATTTTGAATCTTTAAACTAGGGATACTCAACCTAGTTGAGTATGCTCCGAGCTGCTCCCTTAGCTGGATGCCCTCCTTGGCACATCCCTCCCAAGGCCCTGGCCTCCTACATGCACTCCCTGAAAGGCCTGAACCAGGTGGGGAACAAAGCCTATCTTTGTTTGTTTGAATGAGGCTAAACTTGGCCTGTCACAGCTCACGCCTATAATCCCAGCACTTTGGGAGGCCAAGGAAGGAGGACCACTTGAGGCCAGGAGTTTGAGACCAGCCTGGCCAACATGGTGAAACCCCATCTCTACTAAAAAATGTACAAAGATTAGTGGGGTGTGGTGGCGTGTACTTGTAATCCCAGCTACTCAGGAGGTTCAGGCAAGAAAACCGCTTGAACCTGGGAGACAAAAGTTGCAGTGAGCTGAGATTGTGCTGTTGTACTCCAGCTTGGAGTAGAGTGAGAATCTGTCTCAAAAATAATAATAAAAGAAGAATGAAGCCAAACTTTAACCAAATAGACTGATGGTAGACTGCCTTCAGTATCTGTGTGTGTAAGGTCATGTTTTATGACATATTTCAATAAAATTTTTAATTTCCCAATGTACAGAGGGGAAATGTCCTTTTCAGGCTTCTGGTTGGTGTAAGAATCTAGTGCCCAGGCTGATGGAGCAAAGAGTGTTATTTTCATCATTCTCAACCTGTCCTATCAGTTGTTTTCCTTTTTCTATTCTAATATTCAAATCTAAGAATAGCTATGCTGTTCTCTCATTTGTTTACTTCCTCTTTCAAAAATAAAAAAACAAAGCCAACCCCCAAACCAACTCAAAACAGGTTTTTAAGCTGCAAATTATCTTCAGGCTTCCCTCTGTCCCTCCATCTTTTGTCAAAATGAACAGTCAGTTTAGGGTGGGTCTTCCGCAGGGAGAATCCTGCCTAGGCCTTTGTTTAGAAGTGGTAAGAGCTGTGTCAGCACATCTGAGTTCACTTAAGAAGGCGCGTAACTTGTGGAATTTCCAGTTGTTACCTTGAGGACCTTCCATACTGGCATCAGCAATAAAATGTTGTTCTAACAGATTATAATTTTAAATCAGTAAATTAGACAATAACAAGTATCTGGGTAAAAAGGGACAACTGGAAATTAAAAATGGGTTTCATTCAGCAACGATGCAGGCAATAAATAAAGTGAGTGCTGTTTACTTTAAAATACAATCTGCCCAACAGCAATTACGCTGCTGTTGAAAGGCTGTGAAAGGTTAGGGGATTCGATTACTAAGCTAGTCGAAATTACTAAAATCATAGCTTATGTTGGCAAGCCACAGTGGCTCCTTACACTAATCCATCTACTTTCATATTCATTAGTCCTTATTTCTGGAGCCTGTTTCTGGCTAAGGACTTGAAATTACACCAGTGTTATAGTAAATGAGAACACTGGCAGGACAGCCAGGGGTTCCATGGTAATAAGAGAAAATATTAAAAACCAGTCTCCATGACTGTATTTTCCAAAGAGCTGCCAGTCTCTTCCTCTTGTCTTGCCTGCAAATCTGTCACATTATTTTCAGACCAGTAGGTAAGTCAAACGAACCTACATGTTATTATACGCCTTAGAAGCAGTTACCAGTTTACCAAACGAATGCTACCAGGTCTAAATGAGAAATTCTCTTGGCAGGCCACTCTATGACTTCAAAATAGAAAGAGCTTATAGAGTGGTTCTCACTTAGGGTTGCTTTGAAATGTGTAGGCATTTTTGGTCGTCGCTATGTGGGGTGGGGGTAATGGTGACCATTAGCGCCTGGTGGCAGGAGCCAAGGTTAAGTGGCCTGAAACTGAAGGCACAAATGTCCCTGCCCCAAATGCCAAGAACACCCTTGAAGACACCATGACCCATGATCCAAAGGATTCTAGGAGCATACCCTCTAGACCTGCTGGACTGAACTGATACCAAACAACGGGCAAGGCATAAAATGACAGCCCAAATCCCCTTGGTCAGGGCTTGTTCCTGATCTAGCAAAGGGACACACTTAATGTCCATCACTAGATATGGGAATTTGGGGTGTATGTCCATTGTTGATCCAAGACCAAAGAGCTAGGGACAGTGACAGTCACCAAAACTCAACCAGCATTCCCATAACAGCGATTCTGAGCAAGCAGCACAGATAATAGGACCACGTTAAACTCTGAGTTAACTCTAGCCAGACAATTAGATGGGAATATAACAGACAGGAAGAAAAACCATCTGCAGTATCAAAAATAGCCAGAAATAAGGGAACCAATTTCAGTTTCATTACAAGTATAGAGATTATATAGCAGAAAATACCAACTGACTTTTAAAAGAACTATATACTACACTGAAAAAGCCACCTGCTGATTGAGCTAAAGAAATAAAGAGCTGATAGAGAAATACAAAGATATGCTTATTCACCTTTGATTAATGTCATTTTGCTCAAGATAATACAATGTACAGATCCTTTCTTGCGTACAATTCAGGAGCACATGAAAGAGCTGCATGGTAAGAAAAATCAATTCTGATAGAACGATCATAAAAAGGAGCTATCAGATTTACAACCAAAGTCACTCGGTACGTCCCCTACCCCATGATTAAAGGCATGAAAATGTAGCACAGATGTGTGAATATTGAGCTGATGTGAACAGTAAAAACTAAAGTGACAAATCAAAAGAAGGTGGGAAATGCCAATAAAATTGCGAAAAGAAACTGACAAAAGAAAACATTATTTGAAAATGATTATAACTCCTAATGAGATTACTTTGCGAGATGGGATGGAATGATAACAAAATCTTAACAGCACAGAGCAGTCCCTTCCCACCCAGTATGGTCGACTGTCTAAACCAGAGCTTCCCAGGAGAAAAGGCGGTCCCAGCACCAACAGCAAAGACAGGTACCAGCCTGTGCCCCCCCCACTCCCACCCGCCCATCCGTGCAGGGGCCAGGTGCAGACTGAGGAACCCCTCTAGAGACACCCTTTACAGTCAATCCAATTCCTCTGCAAGAACTACAAACATGGAGTAACAAAATAAAGAAAGTAATGCCAGACTTGACGATGAAAACGGAGCCAAATAAAAGGAGCAGCCTTACCCAGGTTGTAGTCTTTGTGTTATGATCAATGAAGAAGGGCCGGCCGTTTGGCGCTATCCTCATTTCCCAGCCGGGTGGCAAGAAGCTCTGTGTGACTTTGTGTTGTGGTTTGGGGGAGTTGTAAGGTGATGGCTGTGGGGACTGTGGGTTGGAAAGGGTGTCTTTCACAGCCCGACGTACGGGTGAGTCCTTGGCACCCTAAAGAATAACAACGAGCATTAGAACTCTTTAGCACGTGCGATTCCAATTTGCCAAAATGTACCAGGGTACTGCAGAAGGCTCCTCTTTGGAGACGGACAAGAGGGAAGATCCCCCCAAACCTGTTTTCCATCATTCGTTTACTTTTAAATCAATCTAACTTTACATTTTCTCTGTTGGATAAACACACGACAATAGTAAGTACACATAACCACCATCCCTTGGTAGCCACTCAGTATACCAAAAATACTATTCTGTACTAAGCGTTATGGGTGGAGATTTTACAGAGTGGAGAGAAAAGTGCCCTTGCTCTTAATGAGCTCACAGTCTAATGAAGAATAGATTGGCAAGTTTTAGAGGGGGGGGAAAAAAAAAAAGAAAAAGAAAAACCTACATCAATAAAAACGATCTGGAATCTCACAGTTGTTACCCATGACATTTATATCAGAGTGTGGAAGAGACAGCATCTATTCCCACTTATCAGCATCTTGACCCAGGGCGTGGAGAAGCCCACAGCTGTCTCTAAGACACAGGAAAGCTTAGGATCTCAGACATTTGCTCTTTGGCTTCTCTAACTCTGACATTTGTGATGTTGAAGGATTTCACCAAAACAACACAAACACGACAGAGAGCACAAGCGGGTGCCCAGCCATGATGCAGAGATGCCAGTGTGCATCAGAAACACATATGCCCATATAATGAAAGAAAAAAAAATGATGCCAGTGTGCATCAGAAACACATATGCCCATATAATGAAAGAAAAAAAAATGATGCCAGTGTGCATCAGAAACACATATGCCCTACAGTTGAAAGAAAAAAAAAATGATCAAAGCAACAGCTATGTTGAACAACGCAGTATCAGCACTTGGTACTTGAAAGAGGGAGTATGCAATTCTAATGAGGTAACAGGCAAAAAAGGAGTGAAACATAGCAAGAATGGTGGAAGTCCTGAAAAGAGAGTTGCCCACATCCAGCACAAGTCACCATGGCCTCAGCCAAACGAGAATGAGAATCAGGTGAGAGAGTCCAGGAATGTTAACTGGGCGAGACAGAGAAGCAGGTAGAAAGGTCGCACGAGAACACCCTTCACCACCAACACAAAGACTGATCAGAGAGAGGAGGTGGCTGCAAAACTGAAGGCAGAGTCAAGAGAGAAGAAAGAATGGGGAGTCACAGGACAGAGTGAGTCCATTTAGATGAGGTAGCCGTCTCACCTCCAGCGGGGCAGATAAAGTTACTGTTGGCGAGCTGAGGCTACGAGGCCGGCGGATCTGAGGCTCGATTAGATGGTTGTTACTGTTTGTGGCTGATCCGGACGCACCATCTTCTGCAAGCTATTTTGGAGGCAAAAACAAGTTAGCTTCATAGGAGTCTCTCCCTGTGTGTGTGATTAGGAGCGCGAACCCAAACAACAACGCAACCAGCAATAATAAGAGGTCTGGCCTATTTAAAGCGTGGAGGAAATAATTAAACATAATGATGGGGGAAAGGATGGGGAAACACATTCAAGGGAGATAAAAATGAATCACTAGCCCAGCATAAAAACTAGCCTCGGATTCAGGGGGTGGGGTGGGGAAGAAGCTACGCACTGCAATAGGCTCTTGCTTTGAAAATACGTTTCACGTCACATTTTTAAAATGTATTCAGTGATAAACTGATTTGAAAACCATATTTCTTCCCTAGGCTATTATTATATTTAAAGGAATGCATTTTCTTTGTGAGAAAGCTTTGACAAATACGGGTCTTTGAGAGCAACACATAAACATCAGGAGAGGAGGCGGGTCATGGGCACGGTGGCATCTATGGCCTGTGGTTTGAAGTTGGAGGACGAACTTCGTACCTGCATGATAGGTCGAGTCCAAGTTGTGGTTCGATTGTTATGATTGACATAGTATGTGCGCCCCTTAGCATCTTTTCTTTCTTCCCAGCCTGAAGGCAGACCCGGCGTGGTATGTACATAGGCCACTGATGGCTGTTTGTGTAAGAAATCATTATTATTTAATACCTTGCATTTGTTTTCTGATCAGTTTAATAAAGTAATGTACACCCAGATAATTATTTTCTCTAGACAAAGTTAAGTTAGTTCTATTTATACAGAAAACACTTCCAAGTGTCTGGAAAACAGCAATAGATTTTCAATAGCTTCAAATCTACGAATGAACCCCCCACAGTTGTGGAGTCTAAATTCTTACAGAACTTGGTTCTAAGACCCCATAGTCTTAAATGTAAAGGGTCGCTAAGGTGGTCATAGGGAAAGAGAAAACATTATAATCTGTTCTAGCTGCTAAATTCCATTGCCAAACCAGGTAGAGCTTCAAGTTACTGCCAACTGTCCAGTGTCGCTGTTTATGAGAGGGATGCTCTGGATTCTTCCTCGCTGTAGCTCCTGTGGGGTGCTCTTTCAGCTGAGTCTTACCTTCCTCCATCAGTTTAGGACCCTTACACTGTAGCTTTTGGGGCAAAATTTTAAAATCCCAACACAGCCCCTTCTCTAGGATGCTGACAGTCACATGGCAGCATATAACCTGGAGGACCACCAGGACATCTGTGTGCTCAGGAAGTCTCCCGGCCCCCAGCCTCACAGCCGAGGCTCTGCGCACCCAAGGCCACTGACAGGAGTGTGTTTCCTTGAAGGGAACAAAGCTTGGCAGTCTTTGGGTTTTGAGACCTGTCCAGTGTAGTATGACTGTATTTAGACAGTCCACGTTTGATCACAAGAAGATCCCCGAGAAGTGGTCTAAGAAATGCAGTCTGGATGGTGAAATTCTGGAAACCAAGGATGTGTTGATAATTTATGGAGGCACTGGGATAGATGCTGGCGATCAGGGCTGTCCCAGGAGGTCTTGGATGCATGGGTAATGCATATAACATCTGTGCCTGAGAACGAGCTCTAAGTGTGGAAAAGCTTAGAAACCAGAGGCTGACCACAGCTACACCAAGGCTCCTACGAGAATCTAAAAGTATAGGAGCATCCCTATGCCTTAGGGATGAATAAATAACCTCTCACATGAGGTTACAAAAGGAAGCTGCTTCTCTTTAGGGTACTACCTTCTCTAACCAGGATCTTCTCCTGCCCCTCCAGGTATTTTAGCAGGTGTCATTTTCTTGCTATTAGGCTGAGGATACAAATTTCCTCGGAACCCAACTGCTATCTGTGCTTATGCCATCTTTTCCCAGCACTATCAACAATGTGTCTTGGTGAAGATGGTCATGTGGAGTTCCTTGGTGGACCCCAGGATCTCAAATTAGAGAAAGCACCAACAAAGACACTGCCAGGTAATTTGGAAACCTCATCCACAGAGAAGCAATATGCTAACCTCACAGGCTTAAAAGCACATTTCAGAGAAAGATCACCTGTGTAATTGATCACGAAGCAGATGATTTTAGATTACGTGTCAGAAAACTTTCTGCTAAAAATGCAGCAACCATTTCTTAACATTTCCTGAGATAAAATCCTAAAGCTCCATAAAGGTAGTTTATAAAGACAGAAAGACCCGGATCATAGAGCATTCTGGATCCAGGTGTGGAGATTCAGCAGGAGCAGAAGAAACATCAACACTGACCTAATCGTTTCATGAATATTAAACATCTGTGAATTAGCATGCAACCTGAGTGAAGCCCTCCTCCTCTAGTGGTGACGCCAATACAAAGGGCTACGTGCATCTGGGCCCTTCAATGGATTCCTCCGCTGAGCTAAGTTGTAACCTAAGTTTGTGGTCAATTAGTATTTCTGGCAAAGTATGTGCTATCAAGTTTTGATCTATTATTGTCTAAACTATCTGTCAAATACTAAAGGGAATTTGTTATGTTCCCCCGCTCTCTGTTGAGTTATTTTTCTGGGAGAGGCAATCAGGTAGCCCATCAGAAAACTCAGCTCCAGAAACCTTAAGGATATTTTTGCAGTTACTGAATCTCTGGAAAGGACACTCAGGAGGCAACTGATAAACTGAAACCACATGAGTGTGCCATAGATCATCCCATAACTGAATCCTAAAGCTGTGTGAATTCTAGCAACCAGATTACTCTCTTCCTTTTTTTTTTTTTTTGAGATGGAGTCTTGTTCTGTAGCCCAGGCTGGAGTGCAGTGGCGCAATCTCGGCTCACTGCAATGTCCACCTCCCGGGTTCAAGTGATTCTCCTGCTTCAGCCTCCTGAGTAGCTGGGAATATAGGTGCCTGCCACCGCGCCCAGCTAATTTTTGTATTTTTAGTAGGGACAAGGTTTTACCATATTGGTCAGGCTGGTCTCGAACTGCTGACCTCAGGTGAACTACCCACCTCAGCCTCCCAAAGTGCTGGGATTCCAGGCCACTGTGCCCGGCCATCCAGGTTACCTTTATACAGCCACAGTGAACAGTACTATCAGTCTGTGGAAACTCAGGAGTGTAGTACAGAACACTAAATTTGATTAAAATGCCCATTCTCTCTTCTTTTGAAAATTGACTGGCTACCTGTAATTTTAGTTACATTTATGTGCAAGGGCATTTTGGAAATGTTTCTTTAAAGTGTTCTTGCCAAATGACCACATAGAACAATCTGTGCTGATGATTCCATTTGTAACTCACAACCCTGCCTCCTACCTCACACAGCTAGATGAGGGGGCAGGACTCAGCTTCTACACACAGACCATGGAAGGGCTCGCCACGAGGCCAAACCCAGCCTTCTGCTGCTCTATGCTTGTGAGCATGTTCCACGCCAGCGCAACAAAAAAGTCATCAAGAAACCAGTTAGAAACTGCGACTTAGCTTAACATTTCACAGCTTTTTGTCATAGACTGAATACACTACTGCTTTGTGATACCAAAGAGCCATTAGCCAGAACTTCCTAGTGGCTCTGTTTTTTTCATTAAAATAAAGAACATGATTGTAAGTTGCTGAAGTTTCAGTATGCTTTTAAAAATAACCGCTTTGATGCTGACCATCGCAGATTTGCCAAGACTTGCACCAACCCTGTACTGGTGGCCTTGTGTATTTTTAGAATACATACAACAAAGACTGAAAGGACTGTGATGTCCCTCTCCTTTTATCTCATGGGGAGGGCCCTGGCGTAAGCCGGCCAGAAAGTGACACCACCGTGCACTTATTTGCCATAAATCAAAGGGCTGTAGTTTCTTGGCTGAGAATCAGGGCTTGTTCATTAGACTACAAGAATGAAAGCACTATCACAGAAAGACAGCTATACCAGGATGGTTACTTCAGCATAGCGTATGGAGTCAAAAGAGCATGGCAGGGCGAACGGAGAGTCCTTGAATGCGGGGAAATTATAAACATTGTCATGCATCCACGTCACTGAATATTATGTAATTATTAATATGTCCCAAATGAATGACCCTAAGTTAGAAAAAAAACCCAAGGTGCTAAGTAATGTGTATGTGACATCCCAAATGTGTACATGTGTGTACTCACCACATGTCTGTGAGAGCACACAGAGGGGGTGAGGTGACATAATCCCAGGGTGGCTCCAGCCCAGGACAATACACCAGTGTGAGTGATATGCAGAGGAACACAGGGGATGCCAAAGAGGGAAACACAGGGTGATGAGACAGAATTGCAAGACAGAACATCAAGGGCATTCATGACAAAGGATGTGGAAGAGAAACATTCAGGACACAGCAGAAGAGAAACAGATGTGATCCTTTCAAACCTAACCAGGTAGGGAGAAAGTGAAGCGCCAGAGTGGAAGAACACTTAGGAACAAATATTGCTAAGCCTGTGGAAATAAAAAACCCAACCCATGCTGCAACTCAGTGATGGGGATGATGGAGAGTACGGGCAAGAAGACAAGGAAAGGGCAGTCTAAAGTGCCACCCAGGATCTCATTCAGAGGGCTCACCTTGTCTGCCAGGTGACCCTTGCCATGGAGCCTGGTACTGCAATGATTCCGCTCATCCTTCATTTACTACATCGGCTACTACAACTATGCGTAGTACCAGTACGGCTCCAAAGCTATACGCAGGTTGCAAGGCCAATGAAATGCAAACACAGGTGATGTACAGATGATGTTCATCAGCCTTGAATTCTATGAAAATTATTTCGCAAAATGATCTCGTCTCCCTTGAAGCTCCACTACTCTCATAGAAATTGCAAGTGCATAGTGGGAAACAGTTTATGTAGAACGTCTTGAGTTCTGCTGGAGGCTGCCTCACTCAGCACACGACTAAGGGACTCACGTAAACCGCTGCAGCTCAATACTCTAACCTGAGCTGACTGCTCCTGGGCTGATTATTGCCAGTTTGATTTTTCTCTGTACAAGGCTGAGCATTAAATGGAAGTCATCAACATATTTTAGAAAATCAGCAACGGTATAAGTAAAGTTACCCACAAGTAATGAGCAGTTACAGCAAAATACACCACAGGTGGAACAATAAGGAAATTTTTTAAAATAGCTACTGCAGTTCGAAGCATAAATTGTAAGCTAGCCTAACTTTAGGGATCAAGTGGAAAACAGGCTATTAAAATACATGGTCAAATCTAAGTCACCCACAAACATGAATACCATAAATTATTCAAAATAATGAGTAAGAATGGCTGGCTTAGAGAAACATCAATTTTTCCAGATCACTTATATGTCTTAATTGTGACCCTCCCTGACCCTGAAATTACAGAAACTTGTTCATTCCTGTGAGGAGAGCCCCTGGTGGCAGAGAAAGGGTCACTGGTGTATTCTGGAGACAAGAAAAGTCTAACCTTTTAAAAATGTGGTAGGGACCAGGCTCGGTGGCTCTTGCCTGTAATCCCAGCACTTTGGGAGGCCAAGGTGGGTGGATTGCCTGAGGTCAGGAGTTTGAGACCAGCCTGGCCAACACAGTGAAACCCCGTCTCTACTAAAAATGCAAAAAATTGGCTAGGCATGGTGACGGGTGCCTGTAATCCCAGCTACTCGGTAGGCTGAGGCAGGAGAATCGCTTGAACCTGGGAGGCAGAGGTTGCAGTGAGCCAAGATCATGTCACTGCACTCTAGCCTAGGCAACAAGACAAAAACTCCATCTCAAAGAAAAAAAGTGGTAGGGGAGATACAGAAAAGAGAATGGCCCTGGGCACTCCCAGGGATCACACGTACAATCTCATGCAATTCCTGTGGCTTCTCTATTATCTTCCAACCAAATTATTTTAACCAAGTATCCTGATGAAAAGGAAAAACTTAACAGGAGTACGGATACTAAAGCCAAAAATAGCTTCTAAATGGTTAAGTTAAATGTACTTAACCAAAGCCTGTTAGTATTCCTAATAAAATTATGTGGGACTAAAAGTAATTCTATTTTACCCAGAACCTTTAAACAATCCCAGGAATAAGCAGCTTAAAATAAGAAATGTGTGCAGCTCTGTGGCACAAAGGAACCAATCTTATGTTTAAAAAGAGTACAGTCACCAGTACACGAATAGTAAGACTGCCCACAGCCTCCTGCCATGGATGTCTAGCAAAGGGGATCATTACCGTTGGTTCCTCACCACCCGTGACAGTTGATGAACGTGCTCTCCTAGCTGGGGCACTGGGCTGTGAATGATAATTTACGTCAGTGAAATGCACTTAGGGGATGACCCACTGCTTGCTGAATCAGGAGCCACTGCTGTGGCAGTGCTGTAAGGCAGGTGACATGAGCTCAGAACCCCTGAAACCCGCCCTGTTCAGACAAAGCCGAGCAGTCGCTGATGACCAGTAGCACAAAGGAAGCATGACCCCCATGCCACCTGAGGTGGCTCATCCTTGATCTGGGTAAACAACAACCTCAAACGAGGGAGGAAAAAAATAAAGAGCTGTTCTGGTTTTGTCCTCCACTGTCAAATCATTGGCAGATTCTGAAATCCGCCAACACTCAAAATTTAAGAGGCCACCGGTGATCAGTGAGTTGACAGCATCACAGGGTACAAAAGAAAGAGAGGAATCACCAGTTTTCAGGAAAGTGAGCTCTTGGGGAAATAAAATTGACATTGATTTTGAAAGGGAGAGAAAGTGCCATTCGTTCAAGGAAAATCACAGAATCATGAGGTTGAGAAGGACCCCACCAGTCCATCACAGTTGATTGCTTCATTTTTGGGGCCCTGCACTGGAACCATCCCAGAAAAGCAGCTCTTATCAAGCTCATGATTAAGTCTCTCCAGTGATAAGTCACAACTGAATCTATCTATTATTTTGACTGCTTTCTTGACGAGTATACTCATTAATTTTTTCACAGACATAAAAAAAATAAAACCTAGGCCAAAATATCCTTTGAAATCAAGAAAAAACATACATGAGAGGGAAGACACTGTGATTTCAAAAACCTTAAATGGACTTCCCCCCCGCCCTCAAATTCATACATAATACATTATTAGTCTTAAAAATGATCCAGGTTTTGTAACAACAGACAAAAACTGTCAAGGTGAAACATCACATTGAACACATTAAAACCACATATTGTCACCTCCAAAAGAAGAAACAAATCTATGTAAAATTTCTTATTTTTAAAGTGTACATCAAACATCTCTTAAGGCACTTCTACTCTGCCTTCCAACTTGAGTATTTACTTTTACATACATCAGATGTTATGAAATCCCCTGCATTTCTACATTTGCTGATAGCTATTAAAATGATGAACGAGTTGGAACGAATTATAGCAAATTCTTGGTGAGTATAGCTGCCTTTAAAGAGAAGGTACAGGGGCTTTGCAGAGTTCAGAGTTCAGATCATTAGGAAGGCAAAGGAACATGTGGACGGTCACCCAGAAGAGTTCTTCCTGGTTAATGTGTTTTCAAAGTACAGATCACTGGAGTGTAACTATAGTAACTCAATAAAGTAAAAGGAATTACTAACGCACCAAGAAATATAAGTGAGCAAATCAAAATGGGTATCGATTTGTGTGACAAACTAAAGCAGTGAAGGTTCCAGCATTTTAGAGTTGGGTGGCAATAACAATTCTCTGTATTGGAAATCTACTTTTGTAGGGCAATTTGCCAGGAAATTTAAAGACATCTCATTTACATGGTAAATACAATGTACACAGGAAAAACTCTTTTTGCAGCAGCCCAGATGATTCTAAATGAAAGCCAAAAGCACCAAGTGATGAGTGGAAATTAGCATGGGTTACCGGTGGTAGATGGGCCTGTTCCGCCACCGCGTCGGTGACACTGCATGACCTCAACCTCGAGGAGGGTTCTCTCTGCTGGAAGAAGAGAAAAAAGACAGGAAGCATCAAGAAATATATTCTTAAAAGCTACTTCCATTGGTTTAATAAACGTATCACTCAATCTTATTCACCGCTGTTTGATATTAGAAGGTAATTAAATGAAACACCTTTCCAGGGCAAGGACAGTCACCCTTTAAAAAGTCATCTTCCACTTTAATTTTCAGTTACGCAGACTGGAACTCTGGTCCTTAGAATAAATGGCGAAAGTAAGAGGAGACAAAACCTTTTGGAAAGGAGACTCAACAGGACTCTGCAACACTCTAATGCTGCTTTACAAACAGAAAGAAGCTAGCAGTCTTTTAGTCTGCTTTAAGATGCTCCCTCTGGGTACATTTTAATGTGATGTGAAATGAGGAAGAAATAGTGTTATGTGGCTGCTCAACATTTACTGATTATTACAAAGAGTCAGTTGCATCCTATATTCTGAGGATGCTCAGACATCATCTTGCCCTACTTCTGAAAGATAAGGTATTTATAATTTTAGCTTTTTTTTTCTTTTAGACAGAGTCTTGTTCTGTTGCCCAGGCTGGAGTGCAGTGGCATGATCTTGGCTCACTGCAACATCTGCCTCCCGAGTTCAAGTGATTCTCCTGTCTCAGCCTCCTGAGTAGCCGGGACTATAGGCGCCCACCACCACATCTGGCTAATTTTTTGTATTTTTAGTAGAGACAGAGTTTCACCATATTGGTCAAGCTGGTCTTGAACTACTGGCCTCAGGTGATTCATCCACCTTGGCCTTCCAAAGTGCTGGGATTACAGGTGTGAACGAACCTCCGTGCCCTGCCAATTTTAGCTTCTAAGTGGAGTTCATGGAGTAAAGATAGGAATGATTAAAAATAGTGAGATCAAGCTAAAAAAAAAAATCTAGTGCGTAGTGTCTAATGTTCCTCACACTTAGTCTATGTGGTTAAATGAAGCCTAACTGACATGAATGAGGATTAGCAGCAGGTCACACACAGAAGCCAGAGTCTCCTTATCAGCAAGTTTATTCATGGTATCAGTTTCTAGTATTTACTCATTTTTAATATTCTGCGATAAGTAAATGGTATAAGATGACTCTGTGGTAGGGATGGGGGACAATTCATGTCTTCCCACATTGGTCACTGTGAAGGAATGAGTCTTTCATAAAAGTCTCCCTTTGTCACCCAGGCTGGAGTGCAATGGTGCGATTTCGGCTCACTGCAACCTCTGCTTCCCGGGTTCAAGCAGTTCTCGTGCCTCAGCTTCCTGAGTAGCTGGGACTACAGGTGCACCCCACCACACCTGGCTAAGTTTTGTATTTTTAGTAAAAACGGGGTTTCACCATGTTGGCCAGGCTGGTCTTGAATTCCTGACCTCAGGTGATCTGCCTGCCTCAGCCTCTCAAAGTGCTGGGATTATAGGCGTGAGCTACCATGCCCAGTCAAAGTTCATGTTCTTGATCTTGAATACAGAGTAATCCTGATAAGCAAAACTGAAGGAGAGTCTCCTATTTAACTCTTATTTAGCAGTTTAACATGATGTGAAAATAATACAATGTTGTACTTGGGTCTTAAGGATATTTCACGCATCTAGAATTATTAAACGCAGGAGCTTCCCATTCAAAGAACTAGAATGGCTAACTTATTATTAATGCTGAAGAAAATTACGATGTTTTTCACTTGGCTGACTAAAGGTGTGTTATTGCCATGGTTTCTGTGGTAATTCCTTGGTTTCATAGGTTTTAAATATAGGGCTTCATTGCTTATGTTGTTTCTGTAACAATAGTTTTACCAATTCAAATAAACCATATACACGCGATCTCTTTTATCCTGCCCATTTAGTACTACATCTTCATCTCAGTGACACATCTCTTTTTGAAAAGGTCACGGAATTTTAATGTGAAATCACATCAGCTAAATAATAAATGCAACTCATGTAACAGAGGCCTACAGTGTCCTTTAAAATAAAAACACCATAACCATAGAGCAGTCATTTTGCAAGCACTTACTTGCTTTTACATTGTATGCAGTGCTATCATTTATGTTCGTTATGGTCATCGTAAAGACTGTTTTTTCTAGGATGCCATTTTCAGCGGAGTGACTACCATCATTTATTAGCATACATCTTTTGGTTCAGTTTCTTGAGAAACACTGAGACTTCATTTGCTCTTAATTCTAGGCACAAGCAGCGATTTTCTACGGGTTATTTCTGCACCGTTCTGAATTGTCAAACATGGAAGTCTTTGTGACTGATTCCACTGGGCTCAGGCACTGGGCCCATCTGAAGCTTCTAGAAAGTACGTTTCTGATGGTTGAGAGCCCAAGTTAAAAATGCTACCTTGAAGACAGTGTCACAATTTCACAACCTTTCTCAAGGGTTCATACTCTGGGACTTAGATGTCTTCCATCTCCCATTCAAACCTTGTCTTGGATGGGCCATTTAAGCCTCATGCCCTTATCAGTGAAATGAGAATTATAAAGCCTGCAGAATATGACTTAAGAGAACTGATTAGGTCTGATGGCTTTTAATTGGTACTGTGACATCCTAGCTTTGTGTTAAGGTACTGTTGTCATGAGCCTTTTGGCTGGGAAAGGATTCTACAAGGTTGAAGCTAATATTTACAGACATCATGGAGTTTTATTTCTTTGAGTTCTTTATAAACCAAGAAAGTGTTAGTGGTATGGGGTGAGCAAAGCTGCTTTCCAAATCAAGAAAGATTCTCACCTGCTTAGGCTAATTTTAGTATACTCCTGCTTCTCCTAGGGAAGGAGGAACTTTGGAAAATGTGAGTTCATTGGGAGCTGGAAGACCCCTGGTCACTATTTACGTAAAAGATTCTCCTAAAGCAACAAAAAACAATGAAATATTACTCAGCTTTTCTTTCGAACAAGACCGATACTTACAATCAAAGAGCTGAACTGTTCCCCATTGGAGTCTGGAGTGATCTGAAGCCTTCTGCTCAGTTCCTCTGACAGCTCCTGAGGGCTGGTCCGAGATCCCGGGGAGGCCGGTGGTGGGGGCAGAGCCAGACTGAGAGAGTCTCCAGCGATATTCACTTCCTCTGAAATGGTCTCCCAAGGCTTTCAGAGAAGGAGACACTGAGGTAAATGCTAGGAAATGGGGATCCATCCAGCTCCCCAACAAAAGCATGTAACGGATAGCCACAGTGATAACTATAATACCTACTAAGCGCCTCTTAAAACCTTCACAATAATCGTGAGGAAGATAAGACTATACCCCCAATTAACAGATGAGGAAACTGAGGCACAGAGAATAACCTGCCCAAGGCAACAGCTAGCAAGTGGTAGGGCCATGATGTGAACTAAAGAGGCCTGTTTCCAGACACAGGCTGTGCTCGTAACCACTTTATAACACCACCTCTCTGAATAGTGACTGATTTACAGCACTTGTTACTTTATGCATGGGCCAAACACACACACACACACACACACACACACACACTTTTCTCTTGACATGGACTTTCTTTTAATGGCTGACAATTCACTGTGAGAGCAGCGTAGAAGCTATGCGTTGTAATTAAACCACGGTGTAAAGTAACTTAGAGTGAATTTATTATGGAATCATTACTTTTGCTTTTGCAAGTTTAATCACCGCATTGTGAATAATCTTCCTAACACAACGTCTAAAAAGAATGTATTTTCAGTATGTAAATGGAGCTGATAAGACATCATGGAAGATTATGGCTAATGTGTTGTTTAATTCATAATGTTTTAAGTAATATATCATAACTACTTAAAGCGAAAATTGCAAACATTTCTATTCACCCAAATTTATATTTTCATGTTAATACATTTCTTTCAAGGTGTCAAAGCGACTCAGTAAAAAGGTGCATGTGATATCCAAACAAGTTATAGGGCTCATTCAACAGCTCAACTATGATAACTAAGTTGTCATTTAATGAAACATGATTAGACCCTGGTGAAAAATAAATTACAAAGTGAAAATATCTTAAGATTTTCATACTGAAAGATAACGCTGGCTGGGCACACTGGCTCATGCCTGTAATCCCAGCGCTTTGGGGGGGCTGAGGCAGGTGGATCATGAAGTCAGGAGTTCAAGACCAGCCTGGCCAAAATCAGCTGGGTGTGGTGGCGTGCGCCTACAGTCCCAGCTACTCGGGGGCTGAGGTAGGAGAATTGCTTGAATCTGAGAGGCAGAGGTTGCAGTGAGCCAAGATCATACCACTGCATGCCAGCCTAGGAGACACAGCAAGACTCTGTCTTGGAAAAACAACAACAACAATAATGTCATTCCCATTTCTATCAATAATAGAGCCACATGTACTTGTCAAATACGGCTTTTACAGCACTTTCAAATTAATTAATATCCAGATGGTAATTAATTCACTGTGTCACCATAATCTTTACATTCTCAACAACATTTACTGAGAGAAGAAATGATGATATAAAATCAGTCTGGAGGACATGGAAAGAAGGAGCTGCAGGGCTCTGCAGCATTCCGGGGACATCGTACGTACCTCAGGGACATCCCCGCCCTCCGAGGGCTCGGGCTCCAAGTCCTCGCTGATGTGCCTGCGGGAGCGGAAGCGCCGGTGCGCCGCCTCCTGGTTGATCTGTCTGATGTTATTGTCCGACTCAGAGGACACGTCCCTGAGCATGCAGGAAAGGGGGAAGGAGAAGAAGAGAAGGCGTGCTTGAGATGGGGCCCTTCGCGACAGTCCAGTGTCACAGAGGGCCAGCTGCCCACTCAAGTGTCAGCATCAAACACTGACTAGCTGGTCATCCAATGTGAGAATTCTCCCACCGTTATCACAGCTGAAGTACAGGTTAAGGTTCACTGCAATCAAGTAAATGCAGTTTTAAAATGCATTACACCATTTTGAGTATCTTTCAGGCATATATTTCAAAATATACCTTAGTGTTAAATAAAAAACAGAAATCAAAGTCCTCCACGCATTTGCCACAGTGACAAGTCAGGCCTCTGGAAGGAGAGGTGACAAGGCGAGTTCACAAAGCAGCTGGGCAGTCCCAATCCTTCTAGAAGTCCAGGTAACGACAAGGCAGCTACTTTTGGTCACCAGCAATTTGACCAAAGACTACAAAAGGTACAAATTCAAAGCTGCCATCTAGAGGGAAGTACATCTGATCCAACGTGAATTCTTTTCAGCTGCTTTCTAGCTCATTTTGACAGAATCACAGAATTGTGACCCTGCATTTCTCCTCTTTACCCTACTTTAAAAGTCCTAGTAACTCTCAAGTCAGCTGGGGTCTGAAGACCAGCACAACATCACACCGTATTTTTTGTCATGTGATGCTCTTGATTCAGGATCCCAAAGTTTTGATTCGATTTTGAAAACTTTTTTGGGCTGGGCATGCTGACTCATGCCTATAATCCCAACACTTTGGGAGGCCAGGGCGGGTGAATCACTTGAGGTCAGGAGTTCAGGACGTGCCTGGCCAACACGGCGAAACCCGGTCTCTACTAAAAATACGAAAATTAGCCAGGTGCGGTGGCATGTGTCTGTAATCCCAGCTACTCAGGAGGCTGAGGCAGGAGAATCACTGAACCCGCGAGGCGGAGGTTGCAGTGAGATGACATTGCACCACTGCACTCCAGCCAGGGCAGAAGAGTGAGACTCCATCTCAAAACAAAAATGAAAACAAACCACCTTTTTTTTTTTTTTTTTTTTTTTTTTTTTTTTGCAGTAAATTAAAGGCAATCATTCTTTGGGGGAAATACTAGTCAGAGGCTTTTACTGTACAAGTTTAAATGCCAAAAAGTTTTCAGGGAAAACTCTCACAGATCCTTCAATAAGACAGCGTATCATGTTAACGAAAATTACTGCACAAGTTAATATCTCAAAAGTTGAAATCTTTATTTCAGATTAACTGAAATACAGTACTTATCAAGAACACCATTATAGACTCCTTCTAAAACACAAATTTTAATGTTTTCTAACACATTTCGAAATGAACTTATGCCATATCCCAATAAAGAACCTGCTAGCAGAGGCTGTGGTGGAAACTTTCCTTAACTAACTTTCCTCTTGCCTTCTGGAAGTCATGCCCATTGGAAGGAGGCACTCCTCAGGTTCCACCAAGTTCTGCTGTGTCCTTCCTGGCTGAGCCCCTCCCTTTGGTATTGCTGCTTCTCTGATGGGGCAGCTATGCCTCTGACTTCTCCCCAAAACTACATGTGAACCTGAACCTGGATTAAGAACTGCATTTTTCGGCCGGGTGCAGTGGCTCACACCTGTAATCCCAGTACTTTGGGAGGCTCAGGCAGGCGGATCACCTAAGGTCAGGAGCTTGAGGACAGCTTGACCAACACGGTAAAACCCTGTCTCTACAAAAATACAAAAATTAGCTGGTCATGGTGGTAGGTGCCTGTAACTCCAGCTACTCAGGAGGCTGAGGCTGGAGAATCACTGGGGAGGTTGTAGTGAGCCGAGATGGCGACAACTACACCCCAGCCTGGGCAACAGAGTGAGACTCTGTCTTCAACAAACAACAGAAAAAGAACTGCATTGTTCCCTTGTTGCTCTAGATGAGTGAAGAGCCGGCAAGTTATACCTTTTGCTTTAGTTTCCAAGACACTGCCAACCAAGATGGTTTCTCTTTTAAGCTACTTTATTAAAGTCTAAACAACACATTAAAAAGTTGTTCATGTTTAATGTGTATCTCTTGATGAGTACGGGGTTATGTGTATATACCTCTGGAACCATCAAAAAATAGTACATATTGAAAAATGTATGAAGTGTTTTCTCAAGAATTCCCTCATTAATTTCACAACTCTGGGAGGCAGAGAAAGTAGCAGTTATCTCCATTTGTCCCCAGAATAGAGCCTCCAATCTGCACGACCCTTATTCATGAATTTGAACGTTTTTCCACATATGTATTAGCTGTCAGGATTTTTTCCTGTGTGAGTTGTTCCTGGCTACTTTTCTGCAGAGGGCACATAAGAAGCTACCTTTCCAGGTACTCCTTTCTCATGCTGTTCAACTAAGGCAGATAATGGTGCTTTGCTTACTATATTGCTAGTAAAATTCTTCAGATCACTAAATGTAACCAAGTCCAAGGTGGGTCCAAATTCATTTTTACATTTTAGCTACAATGGCTGGCAACAATTCTAATAGCTATGGTAATTAATCAAAAGGAAATAGTAACCAATTATATATATATATATATATATATACACATATATATATATATAAAATGTATATATATGTATATGTATATATATGAATCAACCAAACTATTTACAAGGGAAAAATAATTTTAACAAAAGACAGTTCAGCATTATCCAGCTGCTCTGATATTTTTGCTGTCCTGAGCTAATGCCCATGCTGGGTAGTCCAAAGCTGATCAAGAACAGCTGATATTCACAAGAACCCACTTGGGGGCTCAGGAAAGACAGGCCATGCATTGTTTCAGATTCGGCAAGCTTTCTCTCTAAATTAAACAAAATCTAGACCAGAAAACTTGGCCACCCTCCCACCCACAGTCATATATAGAGTATCTTTGCAATTTCTAAAGATAAAAGGTTTTTAAGAACATGATACATTATGCCACTTGTCTAAAATGTATCATTAGCCAATTTCTTTCAGAGTTCGAGTAGGTAAGAAAATTATACTACCCAATAGACTTGCTTTTATTATGTACTGAAAGTTACATAGTTTACCGATAATTTCCTCCTTGTCTTGGCTGCTAGGCAGCTCATAATTTCAAGGATAAAATTCCTTTTCCTTAAGGCTTTGTTTTTGCCCTTTAATGTATATCAGCAGATTTAGGTCTTGCTGTATAAACTGATTTAAAAACAAGCTGCTACAAAACCATTTTTAAAGTCCATGAGTTTTAACCGGAGTTTATTTGCTATCAACTAAACCACAAATTGCTGAGGGAACAAAACAGGAATGGTTTACTGCATCCCTGAGGTTGGTGAGGGATTACAATACACAGTAATTACTAATTCTGATTTTGCAACTCTCCCATGTGTGTTTTATTATATTAAGGGGGTAAAATTTCCTTAAAAAATTTTTTTTGGAGAAGGTTTCCAAATAAACTCATTGAAGAGAGTAAAAATCCAAAAACTTAAAGAAAACAGAAAACTGCAAAGCCAATTTGCTTGTTGTTGTTCTATTCTGGGTCAGTTGGGAGAGAAAGGAGAAGAAGAAAAGAACAATATAATCAACGAATGTAAGGTAAGCCTAAGAAAAACAACCTCTCCTTTGCGTTTCAGGAATCGACATAAAAAAAAAGACAGAAAATAAACCAGCTCATATCGAAAACAGCAGCATGTGATTCGGAGGCAATCACTTACAATATACAAGTTCTGACTGCTCTCGCGTGCTTCATGTGAACGGAGAAGAATCTCATACCACACCACCATCTGCTCCTACTGGCATATGATTTATTTCCCAGCCTTGTCCCAGAGGGCCGCCTTGTTTGTCCCTAGCTGTGCAGTGCATGCCCATGTATTCCTGACCATCGCAAGGTACTCACATCAGGCTTGGTCGGTGCCACTGAGTGGTCCGGTTGTTGTGGTTGACATAGTAAGTTCGGCCTAAATTGTCCACTTTTTCTTCCCACCCGGGGGGCAGAGGAGGAGGAGGAAGTTCCTCTTGGTGCTGAGAAGCCGAGTCATTTGAGTCAACAACTTCCCATCCATGCTGCGGAATAAAGTTAAAGGTTGGTTATGAGGTTGGTTCTTCAGCTGTAAGAGGTCATCGCAGCGTCCCCTGTGTGCCCTTCTCCTTGCTCTGGGGCTCTCTGGCTCTTGCCATGGCTTCGTGGCCACATTTGAGTAAATTCCCAAACAAGGATCCCTTCCCCAAAAAAACTGATTGTAGAAAGGTCTCAAAAATCTTTTGTGTAATGGCCAATGAATTGTGCTGCCCTCTAAGATGACTGCATTACAGGGCAACATTGATTTGGATATGCATAGCCGATGACACGACTCAAGGCACAACATACTCTTTCCCTATCTCACGTTTGTTATTTTGACTTGAGGGCCTCCAAGGCTGTACAAAGCCCTGTCAATGGTGCAGGTCACATTACAGCTGTCAGCTTTTCAACACCTCCATGGGGTAAAGGGGGCAGGGAAGATGAGCTGCGCTGCACCTGTGTTCTAACGGAAATCACGGCACAGGCGACCAGAGCCCTGGAGCCCTGCTGCTCCCCAGGGAGGCGGGGCTTTGAGACAGAAGCCTCTTCTCTGCATCCCAGACGGCAGGAGCCAGGAGTCTGGAAGCCGCTGCTTTCCTCGGGCCCTCTACACTGGCTGTGTCCACATCAACAGGTTTCACGGTACCAAAATTTAAGTTCCATTTTTACAGCACATATTTTGGGCATTAAGTATTCCCTTCCTAACATCCTCTGCTAAAATCACCGGAAAATTAAGTAATTCACTGGTTACTGCAGTTGGAAGGCAAAAGAGTGTATGACATTCCTTGGATTTGAGATGAAAATCTGTTGATGAGCTTATGAAACGTTAACATCCATAAACGTCTACCCCTCACATTACTCCTCTTCGTGTATATGAAGAGGTGAAGGCTCGTAAAGGAAATAATGCCTGAAAATAGGACCTCTCAGGCAGAGGGGGTTCAGTTAACTTCTTCACAACACGTTATTCACATATCACATATATGCAACAGCTGCAAACAGATGTGAGCATAAGCCCTAGAGAGGCTTCGTTTAATGGTCACTTTGAGAATAGGAGAATTTGTCTAACAAAAGAGCAGCGTCTAAGGTGTGTGCTGAAAAGGTACGACAGGGCGCACAGCATCAGTCGGTGACAAGGCAAATATGGGCGGCTCTGTCCGGCCGCAGAAAGGGGACGTTCCTCTGGCCAGCTTGTTCCAGAATGGGATTTCTGGAGGAGAGTTTTTCTACTGCAGGCCGTTACCTGTGGCCAAATGAGTAAGGAACTTGGGAAAAAGTGATTTTCTAAATTCCTTCACCCACTTTGAAGCAACTTTAATGGCTAAAAGGAATTTACAAGGAGTTGCAAGTCCATAGCAAGAACAGAATTCGATGTGTGAGACGTTCACGGAGCTGTGCAGCTAACAGTAGGGCACGGGAGTAGCACTAAAGAGCAATCCCTTCAAGGACTGGTGTTGTAACATAAGAAGTTCATCTTTGCCGGGCGCGGTGGCTCACGCCTATAATCCCAGCACCTTGGGAGGCCGAGGCAGGTGGATCACGAGGTCAAGACATCGAGACCATCCTGGTCAACAAGGTGAAACCCCGTCTTTACTAAAAATACAAAAATTAGCTGGGCATGGTGGCGCGTGCCTGTAATCCCAGCTACTCAGGAGGCTGAGGCAGGAGAATTGCTTGAACCCAGGAGGCGGAGGTTGTGGTGAGCCGAGATCACGCCATTGCACTCCAGCCTGGGTAACAAGAGCGAAACTCTGTCTCAACAACAACAACAAAAAAAGAAGTTCATCTTTAACCAAAACAAAATAAATGCACCAGTAGAATATCAATGACCAACATGCGGACATACGTGTGTTTTTTCATATTTAAGATTTCTAAACTTTTATTTCCTTCAATTATAAAGTCTGAAAGTAAGGGCCGGGCGCGGTGGCTCACGCCTGTAATCCCAGCACTTTGGGAGGCCGAGACGGGTGGATCACGAGGTCGAGAGATCGAGACCATCCTGTTCAACATGGTGAAACCCCGTCTCTACTAAAAATACAAAAAATTAGCTGGGCATGGTGGCGCGTGCCTGTAATCCCAGCTACTCAGGAGGCTGAGGCAGGAGAATTGCCTGAGCCCAGGAGGCGGAGGTTGCGGTGAGCCGAGATCGCGCCATTGCACTCCAGCCTGGGTAACAAGAGCGAAACTCCGTCTCAGAAGAAAAAAAAAATAATAATAATAATAATAAAATAAAGTCTGAAGGTAAAAATGAGTCTGATCTCAGGGCAGAGAGCGAGGCCGACACCCTCCACATACCTCCGTGTCGTCCCTCTGGTCGCTGTTTTCTTCATCTTGACCTCCATTTTTTGGCATATAGGCCATTTTCAATCGCAAAAATCCCTTAACTCGAGATTTATGGCTGCACACATAACGGAAGAAACTTGGTTAGAAGAGGTATGACTTGAAAGGTTACACTTAAAATCGTTTTCAGCAAAAGCCAACCACCACAGCACACCGGGCAGGCATCCCACCCACACATACCAACAAGCCTCACCTTCTTGGTCTGAGAAGAAAGTCCTTAAACGTATAGGGTCGCTCCATGGTTGGATCTTCTGTCTGTGGGGGAAAAAATAATACATTAAGTTTTAAAATTCCTGGTAATTTCATGTTTTAGATACACTCAGCTGGATTACAGAGAGTACGTTTTGAATCTTAGCATGCGGCACCGCTGAATGTGGTTCTTCACTTGGTACCTGACAGTCGACGGAATGGATCTAGCAGAGATCCACTAGATGTCACTATCCACACCAGGTTTTAGGAACCAACCCCAGCCACAGACAAATGACAAAATTATAGCTGTCATTGCCAAGTATAATTTGTAACTGCAGGGTGTGGCCATGGTCTCACAGAGCTGATTAACTTCGGAGAACCAGCGGCCACCGGTGCCTTGCTCTATGCCTGTGACTCAAGACACATATGAGTGGAGAACACAGAACATGCAAGATTCAATCTTTGAGGTCAACTTTATTTTTCACATTAAAATCTCACATCATCAGCCTAAGAGAATTGAAAGACAATCTCCTACACAGAGATCACCCCAGGAAGCAGCACCAATCAGCCTTCTGTTGAAGCTTTGTTCCTGAAACTTCTGTTCATTTTTAAAGAAATCAGTGTTCATTTTATTGTGCGAAGTTGGTTGGCCTACCGAAGTGGGAAACTGGCAAAATAAGTGTGATTATTTCATTAATTTTTAGATGCTCTATATGCAGTGAAATCTCAGATATCTAGACCCTTCGATGAAACATAATTTCAAATACTTTTGTAGCAAGAGAGATAAACCACAATTCGATGATTTATTTTCAGGCTTGTGCATGTGTGCACACAAGTGTATGTATGTCTGCGCTTCTATTTGAAATATCTGTTTACGTCATTCTCTGCCGTAAACTCTCAATGGTTTCCTACTCCTCTCATAATAAACTGAAAATTCCTTCCTATGACCTAGAAGGTCAGCTATAATCTGGCTTTCAATTACCTTTTGCCTCATTGTGATCCAGTCTCTCTCTTTCTTCCTTGTACTCCCAACCATCCTGGCCTCATCTGCCATGGATGCAAATTATACGTCCTGCAGTAGAGCCCATGCATGGCCAGGTCCCTCTGCTGGACAGCTCTGACTCCAGATGGTGCATGGCTGTCTCTACTTTGCCATCCAAGGGTGAGATCCCAGCTCACATCCTCAGAGTTCCCACCATCAGCCGTCCTTATCAACCCCTCAACTTATCATCCTGCTGTTATCTTCCTCATATCACTGTCTGCAAGTACCTGTTCATTTGTTGACGTATTAGTTTATCATCCATCACTTCCAGAATGTAAGCTCATGGGAAGAGACATGAATTTGCTCACCATTGTATCGTTGGTGCCAGGAACAGTGCCTGGCACCAAGTACGTACTCATGTAAGCACTCAATTTGTCTGATCTGTATTAAATTACTGAGGCTCTCAAAATTCACTATCATTGAATGAAGTAAATCATATTTTCTAGACTGTTCTTATGAGGCAGTAACAAACATACATTTTGAAAATATTTTCTACCAAAAGGCTTATAAACATGTATCATTTACAGTGGAAGATTTATTAAGAAAATTATCATTGGTTTTCCACATTACATTTATTTAACCAACATTTATTTCTTTATTTAGAGACAGGGTCTTCTTCTGTCCAGGCTGGTGTGCAGGAGCCCAATCAGCTCACTGCAGCTTCAGGTGATCCTCCTACCTCAGCCTCCCAAGTAGCTGGGACCACAGGTGTGTGCCACTATGCCTGGCTAACATTTTTATTTTTCATAGACATGGGGGTCTTCTTATGTTGCCCAGGCTGCTCTCAAACTCCAGAACTCAAGAGATCCTCTTGCCTTGGCCTCCCAAAGTGCTAGGATCACAGGCATAAGCCACCATGCCCTGCCAACCAACAAATAATTTGAGAGCAATATTATGTGAACACCATGCAGGTACAACACGATATGCCAGTCCTTGTGGTTACAATGACAAGGGAAGAGCTATTGTGTCAACAATCCACTAGAAGCTAAGGCAGAACAAACTCACTGACCCAGAGAGGACACATTCTGTGAGGCTTGGGGTAGAGGGGCAGAGACTGATTCTGACTGGGAAATCAAAATGGTTTTGGATGTGTACTTAAATACGGGGTGATGGGAAGGCTTTGAGAGGTGGAGAATTGGGAGAAGGGAAGTTTAAACACAGGAAATCAAACAGCATGACAAAGCCTAAGGGATCACCAGTGGGCACGAGCAGTCTAGGAGCAGCAGAGAGCAAGCAAGAGAGTGAAGAGGGGCAAGTCCTGGGAACCATGGAGCTTAGAGGGACTCTGAACATGAGTCTGTCCATACCCTATGCAGCTTAAATGATTGATACCACACAGGCCAAGAGGCAGATTTCCCAGGTTTGCACCCTGGCTTGGTTACTTACAGAGCCGAGTGGCTAAGGGTAAGTTCCTTACCTCTGTGGGTCTCAGTGTCCTCATCTATAAAATGGGACAGTAACCATATCTTACAGGGCTGTTGTGAGGATCAAACCAATCAACTGAGTCGGTTTCTACAAAGTTCTCAAGGGCACCTGGCACACTCAGCAAACACTGGCCGTGTTCATTGGACAATTCTACATGTTCATGTCACTTGCCAGTACTGCTAACTCAACACCAGGCAGTAACAGGCAGGCATTAAAAATGCAAGTTCACCTTCATGGAAATTCTCTAGCCTGAATTACAAGATAATCTTATAGATAACTACAAGATTCTTCTTGGCCTTCATCCAGGTTCCAATCTGATCCTGTTCCCTGGAGCAGAACCTAGCGGAGACTCCCAGGATGGCGCTGAAGGTGCTCCTGGTGGACAGCCTTCTTCCACAGACTGCTGTCAACAGTGCTATTGGCCACAAAAGCCACAATGCTGCCCCCCTGTTCCAGAGTACAAGCATTCAAAAGAAAATCTGGATACACAGTACTTTCACTTTAAAGAGAATAGATCAGGCGTCCCCAAACTTTTTACACAGGGGGCCAGTTCACTGTCCCTCAGACGTTGGAGGGCCGCCACATACTGTGCTCCTCTCACTGACCACCAATGAAAGAGGTGCCCCTTCCTGAAGTGCGGTGGCGGGGCCGGATTAGGGGCCTCAGGGGGCCGCATGCGGCCCGCAGGTCGGAGTTTGGGGAGGCCTGGAGTAGATGCTTTCAGCCTAAGTGCAGTCACTGTAGAATGGAGTGATATAAAGGAATCTGCAAGCAAATGGAAGGCGAGGGCCCTGCTGTGTCCCTAGACTTGAAACCTCGATGCAACCACCGCAAGCACCTAAGCCTTGGGCGAACCCACCCCATGCCCACACCCTTGACCGCACCACAGGCTCACAATGATGCTGGACACCCAGGGTCAGATCCGGCACCGCCAATGACCTGCTTATTGTTGGGCAAATCCCCTCCCTCTCTGGGCCAGGCTTTTTCTTCTGGAAAATACTGGGAGTGAATCAGTGTCTCTGAAGTGCCTCCAGACTCCATGAGTTTGAATTCCGCACTCGTGAGAGGGAACCATCACCCTGCTACCAGCCATAAACTCAAGAGAGGTAAAAGGATGTTGATCAGCTGAGTTACCTTCAAGTACAGGCAGGGCATCAAACAATACCACCACTCTGAAAATGCCTCGTCTAGGAAAATTAAAATTCTAGAGTGAGCCATAGTTAAGTGGCACATGACTGGGATTTAGAAAAATTTAATGTTTTAAAATGGCTCTCTCTGCCCCACTGCCTTTCCCAGGGATGAAGAAATTGTGTGGCTGGGCAAAGGTGGGGCTGCTGGGGGCTCTAGGGGAAGGGCAGGCAGAGCTGACAAGTCAAGAGGCAGGTCCAACAGACAGACAGCTGCCAGAAAGCTCTCTGTTAATATAGATCTTGAAGTTCTCTTTATCTCTAAATAATTAATAGATATGAATTATCAAATATACGAACTTCTAGCCAACGATCCACTAAATTTAACAGACAAACGTGAAAATGGTTGTTGAAAAAAGTCAACAACGACAGTCCAGTTACAGCTAAGTTTGCTCTTGGTCTCTCAACGTAAAAGCACAAGGAGTGCTTGCTCTGTCTCCCAGGCTGCAGCGCAGTGGTACAGCCACAGCAATGACCTCCCATGCTCAAGCGATCCTCCCACCTCGGCTTTCCAAATAGTTGGGACAACAGGCATGTGTCACCATGCTGGGTTAATCTTTGAGTTTTTCCACACAGGCCGGGTCTTGCTATGTTGCCCAGGCTGGTCTGGAACTCCTGGACTCAAATGATCCTCCTGCCTTGGCCTCCCAAAGTGCTGGGATTACAGGCATGAGCCACTATGCCTGGTCTGCCTTTTTATCTAAAATTGGTTTTGACAAATTTTGAATCTACAGACCGTAAATAATCCACCTTGACAATGGTCATGTACCAACCAAGAACACAGCATCCACAATTCACTCCACAAAATATATTCACAAGCTATCGCCCTCTTTAAACACTCACACTTGTGTGCTATCACACAAAACAGAATGCCACTGTAACTTCCCCACAGACATCCTATACACATGACCAAACATACACACGAGAGCACCTGCAATCCTGAATTCAAAAGCCATGTGCATTCAGAACATGCTACTTGAATAAAGGACGTATCTTCACACCTCTCCTTTTGTTTTCTTTTCTCTGTGGTCTGTCTCCCTGACTGTAGTTGGCTGCAAATAGCTAGCCAGTTTTAAGTATGGAGGTGACAGCACTCCACCGCAAGCTTCCCTTTGGGCACATGTGTAACTAGGAGCGCCCAGTCCTCTCCGGGCATTCACGGCTCCACCTCTGTAATCGCCCAGCTTCTATTCCTGCTCTGTGCCTCTGCACCACTTCCTTCTTTGAACTCACTGACCCTGCCTCCACTCGCAATCCAAAGCTAAACTCTTCCTTTGCCTGACTTGGTCTCAGAAGAGGAACCTTCCGTTCTCCGGGAGCCCTGCTCAACCTCTCAAGACCAAGCGCCACTCGGTCACTCAAACAAAGGCTTGTTGGAGCAAGCTTTTTAAACATGTCACTTTTGCCTCTTACAGAGTATTAGAATATTTGCCTCTCCGGAAATAATTTCCCTTGGCCGAGATGTGGTTTTTACATTAAGGAAAGGATGGCTGGAGATGTCCATGAAATAGCTGGCCCATCATCCAACACTGTCCATAACACTGTCACAGCCTCAGCCTGAAGAACATAAACAGAAGACCTCCTGGTAGAGAAGCATGTGAGGTCTTTCCTCACAAAAGGTGAAACAATCGCATCCGCCCATTGTGACCTGAAAAGAAGAGTCAGGTTTCTGATGGCTCATGGAATAGGTCTCACGAAGAATCCCCACGCAGGCCCGCCCATGTCACCCTGGAGCTTCAGATTTTTATAAAGAAACAAACAAAATATTTTAAGAATATCACTTTCACTTCCAATCCTTTGGAACCTTGCAAGCTTTCCTCCTTAACAGCTCCCCTGAGTATCAGTAAATTACTTGCTATCACCTTCCTTCAAACACAGCTTCAAAGCTTCCTTGGAAAGATACAGTCTTTCTTGGTATTTAACATATGGCAACAGCCACAATTTCCAAACAGCAGGAAGCTTATGCTAGGGGGTTAAGTCGCTTTCGTTTATATAGACTATATGCCACTTGCTCACACAAAGCATTCAAAAAAATATCACAATGGCCTTGTAAGGCAGAAACATTCGCCTTTCCCCTCTCAGCTGCTACTTCTCTCACCCTGTGCTGCCCAGGGAAGAAGGCCAGGAGGAAGTCTGAGACAAGCTGGAGACTGAGGCTGGAATTGGAGATGCTGCTCTGCCTTCCTAAAGACTTCCGGGTCTTACGCACCCCCACCCCGCCACCCCCCTCTCGTCTCTCTGCACTGCCTCCTGTTTCAGGTGACAGCCCCAATGCCTGTTACTAGTCAACAGCCTCGACTTCTCTGCTACTTTGAGCAGAGAGAAACGGCAGTACCGCCCATGCTAACTCAGTACAGTGTTCCAGCTAGGGTGGGTGTTCCCAGCTGACAAGTTCACTCAGAATGAACAGGCTCTTCTTTTGTCTCCGTGCTGACAGAGAAAGCCAGACACCAAAATCTGGGAAATGCTATTACAGCCTGTGTAGACGTATCCGAGAGAAACAGCGTGTGCAATTCCAGACAAAGAGGGCAAACATCTGATGGGACCTGGAGGATGCATCAGGAAGCAGAGACACTGAGTGACGAGAGGGGAGACCTGACGGAAGGAGGCGTCTGCTTTGTAGGATGTGATAACACAAAGCAGAGCAGCTGAAGTGCGGGAAAGAGAGGGGACTGGTGGAGGGGAATGCACGCACACAGCTCAGGCGCCCTTGACTCTGACAGCCAGCCTCTCCTCCATCCCCTTGAAAGGACCACTTTCCAGAAAGGACTAGCGCCACAGCACACATGCTTCAATTCAGTCTGCTCCACTGTGGTGAAGGAATACCACTCTGAAAATAGCCGACTACAAACAATTAGAAACCCCCACCCCGCAGCACGCAGCATCAAACATGAGACTGTCCTTACCGGAAGGTGACTAAGGGGCACGTCGACCTGGCCCAGGAAATCGTCTCGTGTCTGTTAGGAAGAGAACAAAGAGTTAGCATTTCCATCTCTTCAGTGAGCGTCAGCATTTCCTAAAAATGTTTTACCACGAATAGAGACAAAGGCCCAGGCCCTGGCGCTGGAATGCGGAGGACAAGTCACCGCGCCCCAGGAGACTAGGAGCCCGTGTGCCTGGACGGACCTGGCCGAGATTCTGTTTGGTGTCTACTACTACAGCAGAATGCTAAGGAAGCCTCTGTAGAAGCAGGGAGAACATGATGAGTCAGGGAATAGACAGGCTGGGCCACAGAGGGTTTGAGGGCACAGCTGGGCCCAGTTGAAAGAGAAGGTGGCAAAGAAATGCTGGGAACATTTTAACAAGTGTTCATTGATCCAATGCTAAAAACTAAAGAGCTTCTTGAATGCTGAGAGTCAAGGGAAAAAGTATATGGCCTAGTTATGGTTACATCTTACAAACTGCATCTCACAAAAAAAAATACACGCACTTTTTAAATCCAGTAAGTATATTGCTTTTTAACCTAGTCAGTTGCTTGAGACTCTACATTCATGGGTCAGGTCCTGCTAATTTTTGGACACATCATGCCTCTCATGGTTCCCATCTACCATACTGCATGTATCTCTCCCGACTTAAAGAGGTCCAGATGAAGATCATTTGGAGACACACACTAGTCCCCTCTCAGGTTCTGGGAAGTCATGATTCAGCTCTGGGGTCACTGGCCTGGACTTCAGGGTGTCCGACAGACCATGGTCACACTATATCCCTCAGTTTTGGTGCCTGTGGCATGACCTCTGATGTTTCAATGACCCCAGAAGAAAACTGGAACACAATGACTATTTGCCGCTTGCATGTAAAAATATGCAGCTGGTTCTACCACATTCAAAAAGCATAAAAGCGAGGCAGTTCTTTAGATGTGATCAGACGACTCCCATAGCCAGCTTGAGCCACCCAAGAAGGAATCCAGACTGCCTCATGCTGAAGCCTGGCCTCTTATTTCTACTCTGCTAGTTTACAGAGAAAGTTTCTAATTCACAGATGCTACTTTCCAAGTGTACTCGAAAAGCATTCTCTTCTTCCATTTAAAAGGAAGCAGCAGGTAAATATGAATGAGATTTATTGAAATGACTTGCTCCAGGCTTAGGAATTCCTTTTAGATAATTGAAAAAATTTCATGAACTGGAAAGCCATCTGTCTCCTCTAAACAATGCATAAAGGATAATAATAATAAACAAGAATCAAAGTTACCACGGTTTGGGTATGCCTGAAGAATGAGACTAGCCCCAATCCTTTTGATGAGCTTTTCATTTTTTACTTTCTTAGCTGTATCTGCTACAACTCAATGTGGAGAGACCTCATCTAGTATAAGGCGTTAAGGGGAGATGCCCATGGATTCTGTATGTCCTTCCAAGAGCAGCAATCAGCAGAAGGCCTTGAGAATGACAGTCCTGCTATCCTGCTCTTAGACCTAATCATGCTGCCCCAGTGACTCACACCAATGACAGTTACACAAGGAGTTAGACAGTGTGCCTGTCAGCTCTCTATTTGGCTGATTTCACTATTTTTATTTATTTATTTATTTATTTTTGGAGGCAGAGTCTTGCTCTCTTGCCCAGGCTGGAGTGCAGTGGTACGATCTGGGCTCACTGTAACCTCAGCCTCTCAGGTTCAAGTGATTCTCCTGCCTCAGCCTCCTGAGTAATTGGGACGACACGCATGAGCCACCACGTCGAGCTAATTTTTTTATTTTTAGCAGAGATGGAGTTTCACCATCAGCCAGGCTGGTCTTGAACTCCTCCCTCCAATGATCCATCTGCCTTCGCCTCCCAAAGTGCTAGGTTTACAGGCATGAGTCACCATGCTTGGCCTGATTTTGCTATAATTTTAGAGCTAATATAAATATCAGTTAACTGTAATATAAGGAAATGCACTAAATATTGATGATAAATTGCTTAATGTGAGCAGAGCAGTATGGCCACTTGCCCCCCTCTCCCCCTCCTCCTCCTGCTACGGCTGCTAACATGGGAAGCAAAAGACAATCATCAGAAGGATAAGACAATCTTACTCAAAGTTGTTTCATAACCTGATAGCTCTGAAAGGCTACCCAGGAATCATTAACCTAAGTGCATTTCAACAAAACTTCATGAAATATCTACATCCCCATGTTGTTTTGCCAGGGAGATGTTTGCATTCTAAACTGATAAAACAGGTTAAAACTTTGCCCAGACACCAAAAGACAGGCACCCAGTACTAATGGCTGGCAGCCGGTCTTTACACAGTGCTCGTTCTCGTTGGGCTCCGTGCCAAGGCTGTGACTAGTCCTCAAAGCAACCGTCAGAGGTACAATGATTGTGCCCATTTCATAGGTGGGAAACCTGAGAGGTGTGTGGCCGAGGTGCCCATCAGCCTGTGCCTTTAACTGACACTGCGTGCCGCATGTCGGCAACTGGCAGGAAAGCAAGGCGGTGCCAGCTCTGGGCTTCCCACTGGTTGCTGGCTTTAAATGGTGTAGAGGATAAGGGAGGGATTCTGATGAGGGCACAGTCGGATGGGACTTCAGAGGGTTCTGGCAAAATGCTTGCTTGCTCCGTTATCTTTATACTACCTCCTACTCCAACTGTTCCTTTCCTTAAATGGAACACAGTTTACCGAATTCCCTGAGGTACTGCAAAGCCAGGAAACTTCACTTATACCTTACCACATTTTCTCATTATGTTAAAAAAAATTCTACAACAGTAAAAGATGAGGCAATTTCACCATTAACAAAAACAGAAGGCTCTTATTAGTTTACATGAAGAGAGACAGAAATTATTTTTGAAATAAAATTGGGATCAAGTACAGAAAAGTCATGGTCAAAATGAATTGGCTTAAATTACTGTTTCACCAGTCAATGGAAGACGTACTTGGTTGAGAGATCTAGGTTTCAAAACATCCCATTGTCGCCAAAAATTACAGACAGTTCGGGCAATGTAAAATATTTAGGTTAAGGAAACTACACCGATTAAAGACAAAAATGGCTAGGCACAGTGGCTTATGCTTGTAATCCCAGCCACTTTGGAAGGCTGAGGCAGGTGGATCACTTGAAGTCAGGAGTTTGAGACCACTCTGTCCAATACGGCGAAACCCTGTCTCTACTAAAAATACAAAAATTAGCCAGGCATGGTGGCTTGCACCTGTAGTTCCAGCTACTTGGGAGGCTGAGAGAGGAGAACCGCTTAAACCGGGAGGCAGAGCTTGCAGTGAGCTGAGATTGCATAACTTGCACTCCAGCCTGGGCAAGACAGCAAGACTCCATCTCAAAACAAACCTGGTGCCTTTATGTGGAGGGGAAGAGCAGGCACGTTGAAGGAACACCTGTTTGATGGTAAGAGGAATCGGGAGGTGTGCCAGTGTGCAGGATCCTGCCTGTGGGCCCTGGAGGGGCCATCACAGCACCATTAGGTCATCACCACCACCGTGCAACATCTCATACCAACATTACAAAAGCATTAATCAAATCAATTTTTAATGATTTCCAATACAAAGTTATTTCCATCAAGCATCAAGTTACAGAACCAAATTAACTTCATCTCCTACAGTGAGTACTGGTATTTCTTGTGGTTACTTTTAAGTGGTAAAATGCCTAACAGCCTACAAAACCAAATTAACTTCAACTCATGAGGTGAATACTGGTATTTCTCATGGTTACTTTTAAGTGGTAAAATGCTGTCAATTTTCATGCCATTACCACCTACCACATAATTCTCAAGGCTGAATATGTGCCTTTTAGCAACAAAATAATACATGCTCCCTTCTAATGAGCCATCAAATATTTTCCCAGTGAAACGACAATGTAGAATGGAGCCCCTGAAACGTGTCCTATCAGGTGAAACAAAAATTCATACTCCATTACTGGAAAAGTTAAACAAATACATACACTAAACACTGTCTCTTTTAGCACTGGCACAGTAAATACTGATGAACTATATTCAGGACTGCCTTCCTCCCCTTTAAACATCACTATTAAGTAGGAAGAAGGGGACAAGTGGGTGCCCTGTTCATGCAGAGGGGTATGCTGCTACCAAGGGTAGATGCTACCGTAACGTGAAGCCGGGGACTATTACCATTGCTCCAGTGAAAGCGGTTATAGCCTGTGGGCCTCTCCCCAGATGCACGTGCGTGCTAGGTCAGAGCTGTCAGCACTGATGTGGATGCCTGGCTTAGATGTCCTCACAAAATACTCAAGACTCAATTTCTCAAAGAACACATCCATAAAAAACAAAAACAAAAACAAAAACAAAAACAATAGGACTCTTGATCTTTAGGGCAGAACCGTACTTGAAGGATGTGATTAGAATCTTACTGCACACCAGTAACCACTCCATCCTATTCAAGACAGAGATGGTGGTAACAGGGCTGGGTGTACAGCGAAATTCACAAGGAAGCTCAAAGGCAAAGCACCTGACTGGGCAGAAAGAAAAGCATTAAAGGAAGGAAGTGCCGCCCACAGGTCACGCTGGAGTCCTAAAGACCCCCACCTAGGGGCGCAAGGGGATGAGGCTGCGAGGCTAGAATAGTGCCACCGCACTCCAGCTGGGGCAACAGAGCAAAAGAACTGGTGATTCTTGGTAAAATGACCCATGTGTAATCCTGGCGCTATGTATCAAGGTAATAGTTTTTAAGCTGTGAGTTACAATTATTTAAAGTTGAGCATAATATAGAACAGAAAGTATCAGTGCCTCACATAAAACAGGTATGTACTATTTTAAGGAGCTCGTCTCAGTTACATACATACATAAATGCGTGTACTAAGTTGTGACCTAAGGTTAATTTCCTTTTGTGTGCCACTACCAAAAGAATTAGAAAGCCATTCAACTACAGAAAATGAAAACCATCCACTATTACCAATTACCTGGGGTTTCATCCTTAAAATCATTAAGTAGTGATTTCAAAAAACAAAAAAATAGGTTTCGAATTTCTTAAGACAAATGGAAGAGAATTGTAGAGAATTTGGAACATAAGTCAGACAATAAGAATG